TTTCTTCGCTACTTGATTCGGAAGAAGATGAGCTATCACTTGAAATGGAAGGTGAGCGAGTGCGTTTCATCTTCCCTCCTTTCAACTTCTTCCCTTCCTCCCCTTGTCTTTCCTTTCCTCTTTTTTGACTCCTCTTCCTTCTTTCCACGTTTCCTGCTCTTCTTCTCCCTCTTCCTCTCCGTTTTCACCTCTTCTCTTTCCTTCTTAGCCACCTCCTCCCACTTCCTCTTCACCTCTTCCTCCTCAACCATCTCTTTCCTCAACGCTAACACTGCTTGCATGTCCAGGTTATCGATAGCTTCGGCAAGTCGTTTGATTAAGGGACGGCCATCTCCCTTTCCTCCTATTGGGTTCGAATGCACCACATTTCCCACCATTAATTGGGTGGTCGGCACCAACGTCTCCTGTGTTAAGGAGTTCGATTGACCTATGTGAACGATAAGCCACACTGCCATTAGTTCCTAGGCCTTAAGTTAAAACGCGGATAAGTTTACTCGGACGAGGATGTCCTAGATACGGCGAAGAAGAGGTGTTCTAGCGACTGATATATCTATCCCGTTTGGCTGCTACATCTTTCAACGGAGCCCGGTGGGTCTGGCCACTCATCTCGTGAGTTAATAGAATTTGTATATTAAGGATAATCCTTCTCTGACGGGGAGCGTGACTTGCTTCGACCTTCACATCATCCCGGATTAAAGGATATAAAGGATCATCATCTCTAGGGATCATACTCCTGGGAGCCTTCTACGGCTACTACCTTCTCCATCCATCTGCTTCTCCCCTTATTAAGGCAGGAGCCAACAACGGCTGCAACTTTCCTCTAGCTATGCTGAACTTCTCATAGCTAGCATCTTGACATGGAGAGAAATTTGCGAAAAGAGATAACAAAGGGTGGGGGGGGTAATGAAAAAAATGGAATTTCTACATCTTTCGATGTTTATGAAAATATTTACTCACCATGACCATGATTGATCAATCCTGCGTAAGTCTCCTTTCTCCCCTTCAGGCTTCCGTCCTCATTTAGTGATGCTGAGGACTTCCTTTTCTTCCCTTTTGACTTCTTCTTTTTCTTCAAAACTTCTCCTTTCTTTCTCCCTTTGCCACCATCACCCGTCTCAACGTCTTCTTCCGTCGATCCTGACTCGTCATCACCCTCTTCTGATTCACCCTCCTTGTTTCCTCCTATCTCTTCTCCTCTTGCTACCTTTTCCGACGAATTAGTCACACCATCCCCATCAGGTTCATCAATCACAATTTGCATCCTAAGAGGTGAACCAGTATTGAGGCTAGACGTCGCCGGGTCCCGTGATCCCGCTCTTCTTTCTCTTTCGAGTGCCTGCTCTTTGAGCTTGAGAGCATGCATATTCTTCTTCTCTTCTTCTAATTTAGCCAAGTCCATCATCTTCTTTGATTGAAATTTCGGGGTTGTGTTTTTTCTTTTTAGAGTTCTCCACATTCAACTTGAGAGGATCAACGAAAAGACTAAGTTTGTAGAAGGTTTCTGGAAATGGAAATTGAGTTCTTTGAAAAATCTTAAGAGAAAAGAAATTCTATCTTGCGTGGATTGACAGGATTCAGCACGGTGGAGAATTTGACTTCGAGTAGAGAGGCGAAAATTTTCCCTCTCTACTCGACTTCCAAATTCTAGCTTGGTATAGGTGTTACCTCTCCCACAGCTGTGACACCCTTAGCTGTACCTGTCACTCCCTCTCCACTTGAGAATGGAATACAGTGTACCTTCGCGAGCTGTGGAACACTATCAATTATATACATCCTCTGACCGTTTTTTCGAACTTGGTGGCTAGGATACATTGTTCTCCTTATGCATGGCATCGATCATCTCATCTCTTGGGGTATGAGTGGTGATACATCAGATTTGTCATCCAGTTCACTAAATGGTGTTCCCACTAGTTCGTTTTGGCTCAAAGATGAGAATTGGCCACTGCATTCATAGTCTCAGCTTCTGCTTTTGTACCGGAGCTGTCCGTAGAATGCTGACATTAGAAACTTAAAAAATTTACAAGCGTACGCGGGGTTTGAAGACGTTACAAAATAAATGCAGGCAGAACACATGAACAAGTTACTATGTAGACAGACAAAGGCCGTACGCATCCGCTAAAATTTATCGACAAACAAAAAGTGCAGTAGCCAAAATAATCAAGGGCAGACTTTCATCTAAGGTTAATGCCGAAATGCATGGGGGTGCGAATGTAGCTTGGAAAGTGTGGAATTCATCCTGTATATGTCTCATCGCTAGGATCGCTGTTGTACGCCCCTACATACATCCTGACAGCGAGGTCAGGGTACTTATCATCCTGGAGGTTAACGCTAGTGTACTAATTCAGGAAACGATGTCAGAGTTTTGTGTCCACAGATAGGCAGAAGGTTTTGTAATAAACTTACGCCGTGGCATGAGTCAATATCACTATTGATGCCGTCCTTAATAGCCGCCTTAGTGCTGAAGCGATCACAAATATGAAAGTGGATAATAAGTCCTGACAGAAGCTTTGATGAGGTCAGAGAGTTCAACGATAGTCGACTTACGCGCGGATCACTTGTTTTGGATCTTCGGTACTCAATACGAGCTAGATGATGAAGAAGTTTTGATTAATCAGCAGAGTATGTCATGTGAATAATTTTCCATGAGAATTGAAAAATTCTATCACGCACCTTGCAAGTACGGTAAATAGCTGTCAGCGGATTGGATTTCGAGGAGATCTGACCATTGGTGCCCGGCAAGCGATTCATGGCGCTATGAGTCGGATGCGGAGGCAATCAGTAATGGAGCAAAATTGTAAGATAAACTCTTGGATAAACAACATCTCGAGGTATGGATCGATCAAGGAAGCAAAGAGAAACCAACCTAAAACAATCTTTCTTCTGAATTTTTATCGTGCCTTGGGGACCACAGGCATGAGCATACACTTGTCCGAGAGTCATAAAAGATAAAGCTGCTAATAAGGCCACGCGTTGGACAAGAGATAGCATTTTGTGATAAGATATTGATAGACAATTGGTTGATTGAGAGTAATCTTGAGAGGAAGTCAAGTGTGAAGAAGGCGACAAAATGCTATCCAAGGGCTGCTTTTGAAGGAAAACAAGTGGGCGGTGTATAGGGAGAGCATATGTTATGATCTGTTCGGATTGATTTGGTCTGATGATTGCCAAAATCAAGGGAGTATTGGAGGGGTTGACCGGGATCCAGGTTGACCAATCCCCAAGCCAAGCACAGCGCGAGCGAGCGCTGTCCGAGCAAGCACGTAGCCTCTCACAGCAAACCATATATACCAAGGGGTCGGTGTTCTTGAGCGTGAAGTTACACGTGTCACGCTCAATCTTGTTGCAAAATATTCAGCGTAGGGTAGAATTCCACACTCGTAGATCAAGATGCACAAATTCAAGCACTTGGACATACGTGCAAGAGCGCTGCAGAGGTCTCTACACTCATCTTTGCACACAGCACTCCAAGGGTTCCTGTGAAACGAAACGAAATTTTCATTTTTTGCCGAACAAGATTACAAATTTGTTTTTACAACACAAGGATCATCACGTATCCCCTGCAATGATGCTTATATCATACGCCGTTTGACCCTGCTTTACCGGCCTCCCATTGACTTTGACTTGTCTTCCATTTTGTTTATGGTTTGTTAGCTCGATGCATATCACATCTAAGAACACCATCCAGACTTAAGTATGTCATTGCTTCTCTGACATGCTTAAGTTGTTCGAGGGGGGGCCGCCGGCGGCCGCCTGGTTTACGTTGGAGAGAAAAACTCTCTTCATTTCGCAAACCTAGCCGTGTCCAACATTGCCGGGTGGGCTGGGTGGTATTTTTGAAATGATATGATAAGCTTGAATCGAGATGCTGAGTGTTTGAGGTGTGCTCAGTTAAGACTGGTTGTGTGTGCGGGAGTGGTAGCTTCTGAGTGGGAAGTGAAATTTTTCCCACGTGGCTACCACTAAGAGCCCGTTTCTCGGGTAGTCTCCGCTACCCGTCCCGGGCTTGCCCAAAAGCCCATTGTGATAACACATACTCTATGAAAACCCATACCTTTTGGGGTCCATAAAAAGGTATGGGTTATTTCAGAGACAACTGTAGCTTCTGAGTGGGAAGTGAAATTTTTCCCACGTGGCTACCACTAAGAGCCCGTTTCTCGGGTAGTCTCCGCTACCCGTCCCGGGCTTCTTTGCACCTGAGCACTAACCACTCAGTCATGGAATCCTGCACCAAGACGAGCCTTAGATGGTGCTTACAATCATGAGTGAGGTGGTTTGGATACCTTTGCTATGCTAGGGCAGAACAAGTCCCTAGCTGATAATTGTAACAAAGGCTCCAAACAACCTCATCATGTAGGCTCTGAGGCACATTAGATGGTCTTGAGCACACAGAAAGAGATGGCCAGACAATGCTGACATTGCAAACTCAATAAAGCCACAAATGTACGCGGGATTTAAAGATGATACCAAAGGAATTCAGACACAACACATGAACAAGACAAACATAGACTGTACTACAAAATCGCTCTTGGCAACAAACAATCATCAACATCCCAGTCAAATTGATCAAGGATCGACTTTCATCAGACCCGGCGACTTTTCAGTGGGAATCAAATCTCGATGTAAGAATGATATTGATGCCGAAGGAGAGCTGCGATTGTTAAATACGCCAGTCGAAAACTTTATGGATTGCCAGGTTGGTCCTTGAATGCTCCAATATCCAAATAAACGGGGGTGTCAGGAAATTGAACATTGGTGATCGTGATCGTAGAGTACTAATTGAGGATTCGATAATGTCAGAGTTCTACGTGTGTACAGTCTCAAGAGAATATCACGATATTTAGACACTTACGCCGTGGCATTGGTTCCAAGAAGTCTGGAAGGCACTCTCCACAGCCGCCTTGGAGCTAAAGATTGCAGAGAGTCAAAGTTAACAATAAGCTCTAACAGAAATTATCTGATGTTAAAGAAATTGGCACAAGTTGGCTTACATGTGAATCGTTGAGGTTCCGTCCACGGTTCTCAACTTGAGCTGAACAAAGGAATTGTGATTAGTCAGCATAGCTACATGATTAGTTTTGGTTGAGGTATCTTGAGATTGGAAGACACCTATCACTCACCTCGCAAGTCCGGAAACGAGATGGGATCATATTGCCATTGAAAATAATGGTGTCAGGACCACTGGGGAGAGGGAATAGAGGTAAGGCTCTATGAATCCAACGCAGGAGCAATCAGTAATGGAGCAACATTGTGACACAAACTCGTGAATAGCATCTCAGGTTTGGATAAACCAAGAAAGCAGAGGTATGTAAACCAACTTTAAACAATGTTGCTCCTCAATCGTTATTGGACCTCGGGTAGAACACTGAGCATCGGCCAGTCCGAGAGTCATACAAAAAAAAGCTCCCGATAAGGCTACGAGTTTTAAAAGAGAAATCATTTTGTTATGTCGAGTTAGCAACCAATAATTCGTGGATTGAAAGTGCTGTTGTAAGTCAGGTGTAGAGCGAGAAAGACAAAATGACTATCAAAGGGCCGCCTTTAAAGAAAAACAAGTGGGCTGCGTACATAGAGGCCCGAGGGAGAGCGTATGTCATGATGAAATAATTGCGTTTGAGCACCGATGGCCGCAGGGACACTGCGAGGAAAATTATGTCACTCGAGTCTGTGTATGTGTATCACTTCATAAACTCAACAAAGTCCCACGCTGCGTCTTGCGCTCGAAGCGTGCGAGACGCAGCGTGGGACTTTGTTGAGTTTAATCACTTCAGACTCTCGGAGTGCACACTCAAAAATGAGTGACAATTTCCCCAATTTGTCACGTGCTTGACGTGTGGCTTCAAGTCACGCCAAGCTACGTCTTGTCCCTTTGAAGTTTGGAATGCGGTCATTTTATGTACAGTTAGGGTGTACACCTATCCCAAGCTGAAATTTGGAAGTCGAGTAGAGAGGGAAAATTTTCACCTCTCTACTCGAAGCCAAATTCTCCACCGTGCTGAACCCTGTCAATCCACGCAAGATAGAAATTCTTTTCTCTTAAAATTTTTCAAAGCCCACCCACCACCCGGGGGGTTGAGAAGTCTTGTCTTCTCTGGCCTGTTCTCGCCACGTAGGAAGAGTGCTAGGTTGGGGTTTGGTACCCTTACTAGATCTCACTCCCCTACGGGGCTACCCCCACACCACGCTGACAGGGTATTGATCTCAGGGAAAGAGGCAATACAACTCTGCGGTAGAACTTGCCAGGAAAGATATACTCCTCAGCTAGAGGGGAGTTTATCTAGATTCAACTTTAGAGTTGAAGATAAACACACTCTGTCCTGATCTTGCGCTCCACAATTAAGAATGGACAAAGCTTGCCAAAAATCTGGCGCCAAATTGCTCGAGTTCTGCAGGAGACCTTGTGAAATTGGCGACAAGAGCAACCACAGGACAGATCAAATGGCAAAATACAGCACTTTTACAAATTGCGTGGGAAAAAGCGCAAAAAATACCAAGGCACCAGATTTATCAACTTAACAAAGTCCCACGCCCGCCTTGTGAGGCTGAAGCAAGCAAGGGACTTACACCAAACTTGTACACTCCATAACCTTGTAGGAGAGGCTTTTGCAGGGATCCTCCTTCAATCCCTCCTAAATCTTTTGAAACCAAGGATTTGCCTATGGTCCAAAAGGAAAAGCTGTGCACCTATCTCCCGCAAATATTGTATATCCTATTTTTCTCTAGGAAAGAGCTCTTATCATGTAGATAATGGATGAACAAAACCAACCATTGTCAAAGACACTTACCATCCACAACAGCTGCATGTGTGGTTTACATGCTACAGTTGCTATGCAAGCCAAAATTTTGAAGCACTTTTTTCATGGAGGGGAGTAGTTTCCTTGGGGAATGCACCAAAGTAAGGCCCATATGTTTTCTCTTTTGACCATACCCAAATCCTTGGTGCGGGACAAGATAAAAGGGAATGAAGGATGCTCCTTACAAAAGCCTCTACCGCAAGGTTATGGAGCATATAAGTTTGGCCACAAGTACCTTGCTTGCTTCAGCCTCACCAGGCAGGCATGTGAATTTGTGAAGTTTACCAGATATACCAAAAGGCCTGTATTGTTTCCTCACTAACCAAGTTTCAAACTTGATAAACCATTAGTAGTTGGTGGACCAAAACCCTTTTAGCCCCCATTAGGACAAAACATCAGACTGTACTCAGTGATTGTTGGACATGTCCACTCTTGTCCTCCAAGATCCGGACAACTTTGACAAACTTGGCAAAGTATTCTACCTCACTTTTGTGGTTTTACTCTGCCCTGGTTTTTGCATCTTTTTGCAAAAACACATGAGATTGGCCATACATCATTGGTCCTGTCAGGACCCTTTGCAATAATCTATAGCAACTTGTGACACCAGAAATGATGTCTTTGTGAATGCCAGCAATCAGGCAAAGTTGCCTAATGGTTCTGAACACCAAGACAAAAAAGTAATACACCTTGGTAAACACCAGCAATCAGGCCAAGTTGTCTGAGGTTAGATAATCAATCTTCCAGGTTTGAGAACTTTTGGAAATTAGATTGAAATCTAGGCTAAAGAGATTGTGTGAAAGATGAATGTGAAATATGTTTGATGTGTTTGAATGTATATTCCTATTTTAACACCCTTCATACAGGCTCTGTATTGGTTATTTTTCAGTAGGTTCCAGTGGTGATGCTCTAAAAGTCAAAACTGTTTGAATCAACATAGCAGCATATGTACAGTGCCCTCCAGATGCTTTGCTTAATCACTCAATTTCAGGAAACAAGCATGGAACCGGGGTTTGATACCCATCAAACTCACTTGGACCAACTCACTTGGTCCAAGTGAGTGATTAAAAATCCTATGCATGGAGTCATGTACAAATCATTGTCAAAGTCAACCCAAGGCCTGAAACACTTGTAGAACTCAAACCCTGTTGTGTTAACTAGCCAATCAAAGTTCTGGAATGCTCTCATTGATAGAATTCTATGCATATCAATTTTGCTGTGTTTCCTAAAATCATAAATCCATACCAAGACATCATACTTTTGATTTTTTTAAGTTTTGGAATGTTCTCATCATGAGCAATCCATGCATATCAGATTTTTCATGGTTATCCTAAAATTGGTTTTCATTTACAACATGACTTCTATCTATGTGCATTTGGGGTAGATTAAGTTGAGGAGAGATGAGCATAGCAGCATTCACTCTCACGTGATCTATAACATATTCCAAATTCATCACTCCAATCATCAGGTGCTTCTTGATCAAATTTCCCACAAATCATGACATTGAATTAAAGGACATTGCCAATGCATCATCAGCATCAAGATCAGCCACCACAGTGATCACCCATGCAGTACTTGAAGCAGAAAGTTAGTTCGAGGCAATCAATAGTTTGTAAATTTGTTTCTATCATGATTATGCTTTTGGTTCTGTTTGAGAAGGATAAAAGGAAATTCAAGACATGTGGAAACATTGATGACATCAGTTAATGAAGTCAATTCAAGTATTAGTTTGAACTAAATTGAACTTATCTTCCTCTGCCTTCTACTCCAAGTTTATTTCATTTTGGTGAAGTTGAGTAGTCTTGGAATTTCCCTTTCTGTAAAAGGGAATTGGTTGACTGAATCTCATTTTCCATTTTGCAAATCATGCAAGCTCCCAATGAAGTCTGGTAGACCAGTTTGAATTATGAACACAAAAGGAAGCACACAATTTTTTGGAAGGGGATGGAAAGCTTGGGATGAAAGAGAGGCAGTTTAACAAGAAGATATTTGAGATTTAGTCTTATCTAAAGAGTTGAATTGATTCAGTGCTACAGCTTTCAAAATCCTTTGTCAGGGAGGAAACCAGGGTGAGGAGAAGACCTTTAGATACTCCTAGCTTGAGGCATGAATTGAGCTCAAAGATCTTTGGATCGAAGATAATATAAGTTTGACATGGTTTAAAAACATAAATTATACACATAATTCCAAAGCATCCTATCCATTTCAACGTATGTGCACTAAGCAATTCAAAAAATTCCAATGGGTGGATTGGATGGCTTAAAATAATTGCAAAGTGACATGCACAAACATTTTTTGAGATGATTTATTCATCCAGTATGAAGAGCATCTCGTTCTAGATAATTAGTCATCATACAAGCCAAGTGATTTTCAGGGTTGACCTTATTGACATCAACTGTTTTTGAATGGATTTCACATTGCACAGGTCCATCAGTTTCTTCCAATACCACAAGTGAACCAACCAAACATGAGCAATGTAAAGCAATTCTGCTTGGGCCATCAAATCAAAACTTGCAATAAGTGATAGATAGACTCCATATTCATCAGAAGGAAAATGGGAGCATGTCAGAGGTAGAATGTTTTTCTCAAACAGAAGCATATTGGATCTTATGCCAATGAGAACACTTTCATGATATAAACAAGTCAAAGTACAAAACCTTTCAAGTACATAATTCTGTGGAAGATATTATGAATCATTTGAGTGCACTGGGGTTACAAAGTATTATTTCTCACACACCAATAGGGGGTTTCAAGTTTGGATTTTTTTGGCGTATTTTTTAAAAATTTGGGCAAGTTTTTTGTAAAACAAATATGTGTGAAACCAACGTATTTTTAAATTGGGACAAGTTTACGCATATTTTACAACAATGGGCAATTTGTTGTAGCATAAAAATACGTAAAAAAAGTCAACTTGGAACCCCCTAATGTATTATGAGGTTAACACAAGCACATATAATGCTGCATAAGAGCACCCATTATGGGTGCGGTAAACAGCAGTTTTATTGTAAGTTTACCACTAAAACTTAAACAGGTCCACTATGGACCTGTCTTAGACGCATGGTCCCTACGACTGCATCAAATCATGAATCAAGCTTGTCTAACTTTACACAAGCTTGATTCATGTTTTATTTTAAGACTAGACACATCAAATCTCAAGCATTGCTTGTTTTTTTGACTCTACGAATCCCATAATTCATTGATTCATCACCACTTTGACATCTCACACTTGATTTGCTCATTTGAAATCAATGTTCAAACTTTGATTTGTATGTGGTATTAGCTGCAAAGTAATTGTTGGACAGTTGTTCACTGCGTTAGACACAGTCTCAAATGTGGATACAAGTCTGGAGAGGTGGTGGAGGTTAAGGAGGCTTGTCAAAGAGGAAGTCAAAGGCTATTTTCTCATACTCTTGTTGCTTCTCATTGACATTTGAAGACTTCAAAAGAGCATGGATTGCTCTTTTCATTGAAGCAGGCATTGAGACAGGGTTTTTTTGGATGTATCATTGGAAATAGACATGGTATTAATATTTGTGACTTTGCCACGGTGGGATCACTTGATTGATAGTGATTTATCATTGGTAAATCACACAGTAAATCACTCCATAGTGAATTTCATGTGGTAAATGATTTAGTTGTTACACACATGATTAATTTTTGCGGTTAGGACCACAAAATTTACAATAAAAAATGTCTACCATAGTGGGTGCTCTAAGCCTTTCAAGAAGCTTAAGGTTCAGGGTTGATCACCTATTGTTTTTATGATCAAGTGCCAAGGTATAACTGGGGAATCCCTGCCACAAATTGTACTAGTATCAATTAAATTGATTTTGAGTGGATTTTGTTGATCTGAAGGTGTACAACTACATCCAGCTTGCTTACTTCTGACAGAAGCCTCTTGAGAGGTCCAGTTCTTTGTCGATTATTGACAATATAGCTATGTATATGTCATTTGATGTTTGAGTTGTCCCCAAAACTTGAAGTAATCTTGACATTTATCAAAGTATCTTTGATAGTGTCTCTGTTGGTGGTGCCTCTAGTACTTTTTTTGATGTGTACATTTTCCAGGGGGTGACACGTTGTTGGTAGATCAATCTGGTAGATCAATCCATCGACTTTCATTGTTACAAATGATATCAACCCATCCAAGTGGCGGTGCAGGTGGAGCAGTGGGTTGACATAGTGGAAAGAATTGATTGAGCTTCTGGGCAACGGCCTCAGTGGCTTTGTCAAACTCTTCATGAGGGGTTTCTCCAAATAGACAACAGCATTTGGTTTGTGAGATCAACTTTGACAAAGCAAAACAGGCAAACCTTGTGGGTGACATGCTAAAAGGACACAGAGGTCAAAAGTGAAAGGTATTGAAACTACAAAAAGGCTTTACTCAAAGAAGATAAAATGAGTGGATATGGATCATGAAGATGAGAAGATGAGAAAGATAAAAACATAATGAGGAAAGATAGAAACCAAAATGTACAAAACTTACAAGTCCAAGTCAAACAGATGGAACCATTTGGTTTCTGAGAGGCTCAATGAAGGTTCTGGGGCCAGCAGCAGAGGTGCTTGTATGTAAATCATGTTGAGAGTTACATTCACGTACAGTCATTTAAGAAAAGCTTGCCCCAAATTCCCCGCCAATTCGCTCGAGTTTTGCGGGCAATTTAGGGCAAGCTTTTCTTAAATGACTGTATAACTTGGGTTTCAGACGCCGTGAAAGTTATGTATTAAGTTCAATTCTCAAGGATCAAAAGTTCAAATTAAATTAAACTTAATCTCTAAATACAAACCATAATCATCATCATTTAAACTATGACGCCACTCCGACACGCGTCTTACTCTTTTCCTCATCCGTCTATCACGGTATAGGAAAAGAGTAAGTACCCTTCCCAGTTCAATTCATCCATTCATATTTTCAATTCATTCATGCTACAGAAGACACTAATTGATTTCATTCTTGTTATTCTATTCTTGTCTTTCATCTGATACTACGTCGACACTAGAATCAAATACTGAGACCTGCTTGTGTCGATTTCCTTCCTTGAATATCATATCCTGACTTAAACCTTTAGGTTAGACTATATTTCTCAACTCTCTATATCAATTTCTTTTCTTCTAATTCTGTTTGTCTGTTATTGTTATGTTTTCTTTTTATCTTGACTCTTTAGGTTAGTCTGTCAGGTAGTTTAAAGACGTGAGGTGTCAGGAGACTCACCTCTAGGATTCGTCTATTGGGTATCAGGTTAGTCTGTCAGGTAGTTTAAAGACGTGAGGTGTCAGGAGACTCACCTCTAGGATTCGTCTATTGGGTATCAGGTCATCATCAGACACGCTTTGTCGCTTTTCATGGTAGCGAGAGTCTAGTTCAGCTCTCAGTTATCTCAATCGAAACGCAAATCGCATGTCAGATAGAGAAGACCTTGACTCCCTAAATCAATTGCCAACTCCTGCCACTACCCCAGCCCCTTTCAGCAATCTCGACGAGAGTGACGCCGAGATTCAGAGTGAAAGTCATTCAGAGACTTCGAATTCCACAGTCCATTCTGATCAGACCACCGTTCCTGTCATGGCTTCCGTGCCTATTGATACGGACACTCCGGCTCAGAAACAATCGATCAAGGTGAATTCAATACTACACAAGATAACTATTAATACCAAATTATCTGCCACGAATTACAACCCGTGGTCTGATGATGTTAGATTTGGATTGGCTGCCGCATCATACGATCAGTATCTCATTGTCAAGGATGTCCCAACCGTTATCACCGATCCTGAAGTCATTCTAGCTACGAAAAAGTGTATATTTCATTGGTTGTTAGCAAGCATGGAATCAGCTCAGTCTACTCGCTTTATATCAATGATCTCTACCTTTGAAAACGGCATAAAGAACACCCCTTCATCTCCATTTCTCCTTTGGAAAACCGTACGCGACTATCACATAAGCAATTCGGAATCAGTCAAGTTGATGCTACGAAGTGATATCACAGATCTGTCTCAAGGTTCAACTAAGGACCTACTAGAATACATAGATATGTTCCGCGCTAAGATCGATGCTTATTTAGGAGCGAATGGAGAGATGTCGGAAGAAGAGCAAGCTCGTCAGTTCGTGAGATCACTTAACCGTGATTGGGCCGAAAAGGGGTGCGACTTACTAGATGCTGGACATGTCAAATTTAGAAATTTAGAAACTGAATTGAAGAAGACGTATCAAACGCGTAAGATGTTCAATTCTAACCGTCAGCAATCGAGTTGCACTATTGAAGCCTCCGAAGCTAGCCAAGGTCGAAAAAATGGACGCTGGCAGACCTGCAGTAAAAACCGTTGTCTCGGAAGAGAACATCCCACTAAACCTCATGAACAATCCGAATGCTATCACCATCCAAATAACTCAAGTAAGATGGAAGCATGGAAGAAATCCAAGAAACAAGCCGGTGAATGGATTGAATACCCCCGTGGTGGCCGAGGCAGCTCTAACTCAAGAGGCAGAGGTCGTAGAGATGCTCATTTCTCCTGAGGCTCATCAAATTTTACTCATGGTTCAGACTTCCCCGATTCGAGCGAACTCAAATCAGTTTTTGATGGTTTACGTCTAGAAGATTGTGAAATCAGCTATCATGTTAGTGTTGACGGTAAATTCTCTTGCTCAGCGAAGCCACAAGTGGCATGTGTTGGAGACCAATGTAACTCGGTCGCTCTCATCGATACAGGCGCATCTCATCATATGTTTCATGATGCATCTCTTTTTGAAGTCGGAACCATGATTGCAAATGAAGATCCAGGTGCAAAACTTAACCTGGCAGGCGGAGGAGCCACCCTAGACATACACTCAATTGGAAACGTTAATCTGCTGAATTCCAAAGGAGAAGACATCAAACTCAAGGAATGCTTATATGTACCTGATTTGTCTCGAAACCTCATAGCCGGCGGAAGATTAATTAGAGCGGGTGCAATTACTAAAGTACTAGAAGACCCAAATTTTCGAATTGATCACGGCAAGAAGGAGCTTTTCATCGGAAAATTCATCGGAGAGGGTAGTATGATGTATGTGGCGATACGATCTTTGGTCAGTCATGAATTTCATCAATCATCTATATCAAAAACCAACCAATTCACCATTTTAAAACTCCATTATTCCTTAGGTCACCCAAGCGAGAAGTACCTAACACTACAACAAATGACATCTTTACCCAGGGGTATAGAAAAGTAGTGTGGGCATAGAAAACTATTGGTAGGGTACTTTTCTATACCAATAAAAAATGCTTTTGATAAACCTATGTAAGATATTTCAGATTGAGAAATTGAGTATTATCTTTGCCCTGACTCAGCTGTATGTATTGGGACCCAAAGGCAGTGCTACAGTGCGCAGAATCTCAATTTTCTGTTTTTTGATATTTTTATCCTAAAATACAATTCTATGGTGATAAAAGAGATCCTCAACCATGTTCAGCAATGTATGTGAGTATGTATGCACAATCTTACACAGATTGACAGACACTTTTTACATATGTACCACCCACTTTGGCAAAAAAAGTTGCATTAATAATTTAATGCAACTTTTACATCACGGTGAAAAAATTTCTCACCGTGTATGTATATGTAAAACCACACAACAGTGTGCTTGTTAGAAAGGTTTGGTAACCAAATAAAAAGCAAAATCACCATGGTGATAATGAATCACAATGGTGTCTTTTACCATTTGGAACAACAAGGTCATTTGTTGATTGAGTTCAAAAACCAAAAAAAAAAACTTAGTCGCTCTCATTGCTCTCAATATCATCTACCTGTTCAACTTCTGCAATTATTTTTTAAGCAATTTGATTGATGATAACATGGTCAATGACCAAGCTCTTCACTGTTGGCAGCAACGTTGAATTGGTGGAAATGATGTCTTTTGAGGAAGTCAGATTTGAGTCTGAATCAACACCACAATGAGATTGAATGGATTTGAGATTGAAAAGTTTAAGTAGAGAAAAAGGTTGAGGTGGTGATGATTTGAATGGTTTGCAATTGAAGAGAAAAGGACTTGTAGAAAACAAAGAAAAAAATGGTGAGGTCCAAAATAACTGGTGGTGATGGCTTGAGAAGAGAGAACAATGAAAAGTCGCAGTCGCATTAATTTGAAAATATTTGACTTTTAGTTGTTTTCAAGAATGCGCACAATCTTTGCACATATGTGCAGAGATCCGTGTATCTCTTTTGTTTCATTTTTGTTTACCAAACAAGATTTTCAGGTGACATATGCCACCAAAAATCACTGCGCTTTTTTGGTGGTGCACAGTCGGTTGCATAGGTCACACACCGGTTGCCAAAGTGGGTGTACAATATGACTGATGGACCATGCTTTCCCATTGGACAATGCTCAAGAAGGGCTTTGAGTCTAAATTTATATTCAGTCCCTGTGGTCATGTGGATATTTTCATCTGTGGGTATAGAGCAGAATGGTATGTCTAGGCAGAGAGGACACGATCTCTATGGGTATAGAAAAGTACTTCACCCATAGTTTTCTATGCCCGCACTACTTTTCTATACCCCTGGGTAAAGATGTCATTTGGTGTAGTGTAAAGAGGATGTGGAGCCTTGGTTATTTTAATGATGTACTACCAAAGACTGTTACTACAAAAGAATTTGAAATTATATCAAAATGTCCTGTTTGCCCTCTAGCCAAAAATCACCGGTTACCATTCCCATTCACTAGACCAAGAGCTACGAACTTCCTCGAAAATGTCCACGTTGATCTGAGTGGTATAATAAGAACTACTGCAGTCAACCAAGAAGAATACTATATTCTGTTCACTGATGACTTCAGCAGTTATCGTGTTTCTTTTGGTTTGCCAAACAAAAGTGCCGAGACGGTATTCGAATGTTTCAAGCGGTACATTGCCTTTGCCGAGCGTCAAACCGGGCAGCCTCTGAAAATGTTTTCACTAGACGGAGGAGGCAAATTTATCAACGGCCTCCTCAGCCCGTACCTTGAGGAGCTAGGGATAGTTGCAAGGGTCACCTCTCCTCATACTCCAGAGGAAAATGGAGTAGCGGAACGCTCAAATCGTACTATCAATACGAAAGCTAGGTGTATGCTAATACAGTCATGCGTACCAATTAGATACTGGTACTATGCTGTGTCTTATTCGGTTATGTTGCAGAACAGGACCATCACGACTTCATTAAATCTAAAAGAAACCCCTCAGTCAGTATGGAAGAAGCACAAATCGAGCATGAAACGTTTCCAACCCTTTGGGTGCCTAGCCTACCGACACGTCAGGAAAGAAGTTCGAGGTGGGAAATTTGAACCCGTCTCTCGTCCCGGTGTTTTGCTAGGAGCCACAGAAGATAATCACAACTTCATTGTATTAGACCAAGAATCAAATCAGATCCATATTAGTCACGATGTGACCTTCCAGCCACTCATTTTCCCTTTTATGAAGGATGCCGATAAAGGTCCAGACTGGATTTTTATCGAGGATCTCCCGCTTGACTCAGCGGAAGAGAAACAGTTAGTTATTGAACCCAACTCAACACCAAACGTATTAAGATACGATTCAGATGAAGAAGATCCAGTGATACAAGAGAGTCTCCCTCCTCGTATCACTGAAGTTTTGAACGAAACACCCGAGTCTGAACTTGAACCTACAGACCAGATCATCAACCAACCTCAAATCAACGAAATTCCAGAAAAGGAACCTGTAACCAAGCAGCCCGTTCAGGAACAACCAAGACGATCAACGCGGGAACGTCAACCAGTCAATCGATACACTCCCAGTAACTCAACTTCAAGCAACTTCGTCAATATTCCTATGCGTAGCATTGTACCCAAAATATCACAACGATACTCTGAATCACAGCACTCATATTACTGCCGAGAGGCCATGAGAGCTAGAGCCGAGCCTAAGAGTTATAAGATGGCAATGAAAGCTCCTGACGCAGACAAATGGAAGGAAGCCTGTGACAAGGAAATGAAGAACATCAAAGAGATGGGGGTATGGGAAATAGTGGACCGTCCAACCAACGCTCCAGTCGTGGGTGGTCGATGGCATTTCAAATACAAGATCAATCCTGACGGCTCTATCTCAAAGCATAAAGCTAGATATGTTGCGAAAGGTTACACCCAAACCGAGGGTATTGATTACAATGAGACTTTTGCTCCGACCGGAAGACTAGCATCTTTTCGCATAATGGTCTCCGTCGCAGCGGCTAAGAGCTGGGATATCAAACAGATGGACGCTATAGCTGCATTTCTCAACAGTACTTTGAAAGAAGAAATTTACCTAGAATTACCTGAGGGTTATGATCAAGAACGCGCAAATGGCAAGGTAGCTCGATTGCGAAAAGCATTGTATGGACTAAAACAATCAGCCAGGTGTTGGAACGAGGAAGTGAAGGATAAATTCACACAGATTGGTTTAAAACAAAATCCTCATGATGGGTGCTTATGGTATGGGAGAGACAGAAATGGTATGGAAACATTAATCTATCTACATGTAGATGACATGGCGATCACTGGTGACAAGATTAAGGAAACAAAAGAATTACTAAAGTTGAAATGGAGAATGGAAGATCTAGGGCCGGCGCATTGTATTGTAGGCATTGAAATCCATTCCACAACTGACGGTGGATATTCTCTGAGTCAACCGGCATTCATTCAAACAGTGTTAGAAAGATTTCATTATGAGGACTGCAAACCTGCATCAACTCCATTTCCAGGAGGTAACAAGATACTGAAAGCAAGCGATGCTGATGTACTAGAGTTCAACCAATCAGGCCTCCCATATAATAGCTTAGTTGGAAGTCTGATGTACATTGCTCAAGGAACCCGACCTGATGTAGCATATGCAGTGGGTGTCCTATCTCAACACCTGTCACGCCCATCAAAAGAAGCGTGGAATATGGGATTACATGTTTTACGCTATTTGAAAGGCACTCAAAGCCTAGGATTAATTTACTCATCAAGCAACAGTCAGATTGAAGGTAATCAAAGCTGGTCTTTCCCGGAATGCCATGCCGACGCCAACTGGGCAGGGGATCCAAGTACTCGTTGCTCAACTACTGGATATCTTTTCAAACTCAATGGTGCCGCCATCAGCTGGAAAAGCAGACTGCAACCAACAGTGGCACTGTCCTCAACGGAAGCTGAATACAAGGCAACCACTGAAGCAGGGCAAGAGGTAGTATGGTTGAGAGGGTTACTGTCGAACATCTCACTAACGCAAGAATCACCTACTATTTTATGCAGTGACAGCACCGGAGCAGTATCCTTGACTCAAAAGGCTATTTTTCATGCACGTACAAAACACATAGAAGTGCAATATCATTGGATTAGAGAGCAAGTAGAAAAAGGAGCCATCAAGATGAGGCATGTCAATAGTAAGAACATGTTTGCTGATACACTAACCAAACCCTTACACCCTGGACCATTTCGAGAATTAAGAGACCAAGTGGGGCTAGATGTGATTCACGGACATCTGAAACAGGGGGAGTGTTGAGAGTTACATTCACGTATAACTTGGGTTTCAGACGCCGTGAAAGTTATGTATTAAGTTCAATTCTCAAGGATCAAAAGTTCAAATTAAATTAAACTTAATCTCTAAATACAAACCATAATCATCATCATTTAAACTATGACGCCACTCCGACACGCGTCTTACTCTTTTCCTCATCCGTCTATCACGGTATAGGAAAAGAGTAAGTACCCTTCCCAGTTCAATTCATCCATTCATATTTTCAATTCATTCATGCTACAGAAGACACTAATTGATTTCATTCTTGTTATTCTATTCTTGTCTTTCATCTGATACTATGTCGACACTAGAATCAAATACTGAGACCTGCTTGTGTCAATTTCCTTCCTTGAATATCATATCCTGACTTAAACCTTTAGGTTAGACTATATTTCTCAACTCTCTATATCAATTTCTTTTCTTCTAATTCTGTTTGTCTGTTATTGTTATGTTTTCTTTTTATCTTGACTCTTTAGGTTAGTCTGTCAGGTAGTTTAAAGACGTGAGGTGTCAGGAGACTCACCTCTAGGATTCGTCTATTGGGTATCAGGTGAAATTTATCCGTCTATCACGGTATAGGAAAAGAAATCAAATACTGAGACCTGCTTGTGTCGATTTCCTTCCTTGAATATCATATCCTGACTTAAACCTTTAGGTTAGTCTGTCAGGTAGTTTAAAGATGTGAGGTGTCAGGAGACTCACCTCTAGGATTCGTCTATTGGGTATCAGGTTAGTCTGTCAGGTAGTTTAAAGACGTGAGGTGTCAGGAGACTCACCTCTAGGATTCGTCTATTGGGTATCAGGTCATCATCAGACGCGCTTTGTCGCTTTTCAAATCAAAGCTTTCAGGTGCTTTTACATTAATTCGGTGATAGTGGTTGTTGATGATGAATAGCAGGTTGTGTGGTTTGTGTTGATCACATTTTGATCTTATTGAATTGGTCTGAGATTTCACTTAAAACTAGCCATTTTGGTGGTAGGCACTGCACTGGTCACTTTAGTACCGGTACATGTCCCTATGTATGTCTCAATCAGTTTGGAACTACCAAGGTGAGCAAATGATATGAAACAAAGAAAGATAACTCCATACAGAGTGGCCTACCATATGATCAAGTCAGGAGAAGTCTTGAAGTTATTTGTGCTTGTTTTGCATGTTTGACACTTAGGAAATGTCTAGAAAACCATCTTGAATCTCCTAATAAATACCACAGAAACCAAAAGATTCACAATGTGTCACTTGACTAAAATCTAAGTTCTGAGTTGCCATGATTCAATCTCTGGAAATTTGAATTGCAAAATCATCAGCTTCTTCAATTGTTTCACACTTTTATTTTTATCAGTAAGTTCACGATTGCTTCAAGAAGCTGTTAGATTGGAACCAAAGTGAAACAACCAAGTTGAAGATTGACATATAAAGATTGGATTAGAAAGTTTGCTCTGTGATCTTCATTTGTGATCCATGATGCTTGATTCAATTCACCCACACTGATTAGTCCATCGAACAATGCTGTGCGGTTGACTTGAACCAATCAATGTACAGATTTCAACTTCAATGATTGCTGTAAGTTAGCTGTTGGACTTTCTAATTGATCATGATATTCTGAAGCTGAAGTATATCACTTCTGGATCAACTTGTAGATCAACCCAAGGTTTGGATAAAGTGACACTCATCTCCAAATTTGTACAATCTATTCAGTGGTCTAAAGTTTCCAAAAAAAACACTCCAAGCACTTGTTTTTTTGCTGATTGTGATACATTTCATAGTATATCAGGTTAATGAGTTGAGGTGTAAAGTATATCAAGAGTCCATTCAGACATGATCAACGGCTTAAAAAATTGGATGATGGATGAAAAGCACCATCATGCATGCCCTCATCAATTGACAGACCTGCACCTGTAAAGGGGATCTTCCATCAATGCAGCTTTTGACCTTGAAAATACAAAAGGCTCAATTTGCATATGTATTGATTTTTGAGGACTGAAACCAATTCTAAACCTTGTGAGGAATTCATCATCATCACTGCAAACATTATTCAACTTCCCCAAGTGGGCAGGAAAAAGTGACTGGGAGTATGATTTGTCATAAAATGATCTATCACTCCACACCTGAGCCATAACACCCACACTACATATGTGTTGCAGGCTCAGTGAATATGTGGTTATCATGTACATACAGGTCTGCTCAGTTATCTGCTCATCAGGATAACTTATTCATATGTAACACATGCTGTAACTTTTTTGAGATCAAAAAAAGCATTCCAAAGATTGACTACATACAGCCGTTGTAATATCTATCGGCAGTTTTTTAAGAAGATGTGTTGTTGTGAGATTTAATGAAGACGGCAAAAACTCGAAAAACCGCTTTCCAGATTAGAAACTCTATGCTCTGCTCGTTTGAGATTGGACATGTAAGTTTGCTATTCCCTCTCTCCTTATATTTCCATTACACTCTACTGTGCCATACAAAGCCGGTTAATGTTTAATTCTTTTTTTCCTGTTTACCGGTTTCCAATTTCCCACATCCTGAAACCCTCCAACCCACTTCTTCCCCATCGCATCCGTTCCACTTCTCATCACCACTTGGACCTTCATCGCACTTCCGAATTCTTGGTGATCGTGAGTTTCGTTTGGTGGTTTGTTTGCTAAGCATAAAGGATACTGACGTAACCTTTTATTACAGATGCCGGTCAATACGTATCCCACCGACATCAAGATGGTTGTTGTTCGCATGGTGATGCGTGGAATGCGATTCCACGACATCGTCACTACTCTTGGTGTCGACGTATCGCTCACTTCTGTCCGGTGGTGGTTCGAGTTGTACCAGACTACTCGAGCTGTCATCACTAATCCCGAAAACCATATGACTCAAGGTGCTTGGCCTATCTTAGGACCAGCTCAACACAACTTCATAATTGAATCCCTCAAACACGACCCTACTTTGTTCCTCGACGAGCTCCAAAAAAAAATCTCTGAGCGGTTTGGAATCGTCGTTTCCCTCAAGACACTTTCAAATGAGGTCCGAGTGCGTCTTGGATGGACGCGAAAGAAGGCACGCAGCGTCCATCCTAACCAATCGGCGGAGGCGCGAGGAGCTTATATCGGTCAGGTTTTCGGAATCGATCCGCATTGCCTGGTTTTCACTGGTGAGCTTCTTCCCCTTGGTTTTGTTTTGAAGGTACGAAACTGATGTGGAAGTTTTTGATACAGATGAAACTGCCGTCAATAAGAGGCATCTTTATCGCGATTATGCACGCGCCCCACGTGGCGAAAGGACGGTCCGGCTCCCAAGAGCAACTAGGTCTCAGAGATGGTCTGTGTTACCAGCCATCTCGTCAGGGGGCCTAGTTGCTTTAGCCATCCAGCCTGGTGGCTACTCAAGAATTGATTTCGAGGCGTTCTTGGAAGATACACTAGTGAGTAACCTTCTTTTTGATCTGCTTTCATATTTATCGCTGAATATCAGTGGACTGATATTTGGATGGTTTTCATTTCTAGTTGCCAGCGATGAACCCTTGGCCCGCAAGGAACAGTGTTCTCGTGATGGACAATGCCCCAATCCATCACGGAGGGAACATTGAGGCCCTCTGTGAAGAAAGGGGCATTCGCCTACTTTATCTTCCACCATATTCCCCGGACTTCAACCCCATCGAGATGGGTTTTTCTCCTCTCAAATCTTGTTTGCGAAGAAGTCGTGCTCTCCACCGTGCGATTCATGTGGCTGGGGAGGAAGCGTCCATTTTCGTGGCTTGTATGAATCTGTTCACAGGCTCTCTTTGTGAAAAATTATTTAAAAGTTGTCGTTATCTCTGATACTCTCACTACTTTGTATTCCCTTATGCCTATGCCCTTTATAAATTTTATGTGTGCTACCTCAAATTAACAAATCATTGATTTGATTATATGTTGCAATAAGAATAGCCAGATATGTCATCGTTTTTAATTTAAAAGTTTGCTCTCGAGGTGACTAAAAGTTTGGAGAGTTTCCTTACGCCCGTTTAAAAAATAGTCAGGATGTTTGCATTTCTTTGGAAAGAAAAGTAAATATGGTGTCTTTTCAAAGATACCACTCGAAGGATCTCTCATGATTAAAGGCATTTAGGTGGAGAGCTATCTGAGGATAGCTCTCCAGGTATCTCACTTTGAAATTTACAAGTCTCAGGAAAACATAAATATATTTGCGTCTGTTTGCAAAAACTTGTCACGATTTTTAAATAACAATAAATTTTTATTTGTTCACACCTGAATCACACCAAGATAACGATATAGCTACATTGTACCAGACAATGATTTGGAAGAAGTATGGTAGCAAATCTCACAAAAGCACAAGAGCGAGGAAATTGTAGAACCAATTTGAAAACCAGGCCACGCACAGACAAGAGAATAAAGACAATTGACAACTTTGAAATGAACCAGACATATACAAAGTTATATTTCATTTGATAATATAAGGATAGAAAATAACAACGCTTGTTTAGGAAGATACTCAATCGATCGTGCTTTGTTGATGATGTGATATGTGCTTTGACAATATCGTGTACCTTGATTTTTGAACATTGAACTCCTGCCATTAAAACAAAGGATCAAGTCATCAGTCCTAGGAAGTGATTGTGAAAACGTCATCCAAAAACTTACATTTGGAAAAGCGAGCTTGTGCTTCAGTAAGGAGGCGGTTAGCAATTTGACGTTCTAAACCTTTCTCGGTGAGCGTCGCCTCAGTGAGTTGAAGACTAGGTATCAAGTCAGTCCAGGACTTGATACCCGCTTCTTTAAGCACAGTTCGAGTCTTTTTGTCGTCCATAGCAATCTCGCAGTCGGCAAGGAAGAGTTCCAACTCGACCGAGTGAGAGGTCGAGGGGTTTTCGATCTCAATGGAGTGGCTGCTACTGACGCTTTCAGTGTCCCAGTCGCTCTCATACTCACTAGATATATAAATCGGGTTTTGGATAGTATTTTTGGGTTCTGGAACACATTGAAGCTAAATGGGTCAGTAACTCATTGTAATCAAGTATATCAATTGGAATTAGACTAACGTGGTTCCACTTTAATCTTCTTGATATCTGGCTTAATGTCATTCACCTCACCTGAACCGGACCCTTCGCGTTTTTCGCCTATCTTCGCGAGGTCGGGCTTTATGTCGGTGTCGAGCGAGAGACTCGCACTCGATCCACCGGCCACAACTTGAGGAACTCGATTTCCATGTGAACCTCGAGGTTTACCTTGTAATCGAAGGTTCACGCGATGATCCACCCCCATGTCAGGGTGGATCCAGCGACTCTTCTTGATTTCATACCTGAACTCAGAAGTATTCGGCGGGATGTCGTTGGTCGCGATGTTGGCCACCTATATCAACATATAGTAGTCAGTTCGCTTCCAAACTTCATCAGACTACAAGCCAGATGAAACACTTACCACCCCGTTGGCCCAAATCCACGCGGCCGCATAAGTCAAACGATAGAAAAAAGTGGGATCCCATGGAGCGGTCAAGACCTTGCCTGGTCCTCCGGAGGACTTTTCGATGGCATATTGGCTAAAGATCTTGTTAGCAATAGTAGCTAACTCTCGCTCTTTAATAGATTCCTGTGAAAGAGCGCGAAAACAAACATATCAATGAAATGTTGAAGAACAAATGCTACCTTTACTCACCTCAGATTCTCAATCTTGGGACCCGCCTCCGTTAGTCGTGGCGATGAGCTTCTTAGTTGCGGATGCCTGCCAATGCCCAAATTCTTGAATCAGTCAAAATAGGAGTAAGAAACAATCGAATCGAAGGAAATTCCACTTGCCTTGTCACCCTCTTTAGCTTTAACTTGTACATTCTCATTCTCGATCGAAAGGATACACTTCTTTTTGATTGATTTATCGAGAGTCTCAACCAAAGTGTGCCATTGATTGTAATCAGTGAGCAAAGACTTGGTTCGGCCCATGGTGGTTTTCCACTTGAGCTCAGATGAGAACGGACTATTGAGAATGATGTTCTTCATACCCGGCTCGAATTTTTCACATTCTCCAGCCACCAGCTCTTTAAATTCGATCACACTCTTTCCATACGGGTAGATTTGCATTTCAAGGTAACCGGAGTTGAGCGCTTTCGAGTCGATCAGGTTGAGTTTAGAAGACTTCACTGCCTTCTTACCAGCGCCAACTTTGGGGGTGCTCTGATTGGGAGTGTTGATATCAACCTCCTGGTCGGTATAAATTTTGAATCGGACTTCAAACGTCATAAGGTTATTCCGATCAAAAGCATCGCGGGCCGCTGTCCCTGCACGCAATAAGGGGTCCTGTCGGAGGCAGGTCACTCGTCGATCGTCTCCGAAGCGTTCCTCAGGCTCTTCAAACACTGCAAGTGAAGAACATCATCAGTTAACAAAGGCGAAAACGTGAGGATCCATGTGTAGTACTCACAATGGTTCATGTAGCCAGTGGATGGGGTCGCAGCGGGAGCAATTGGCGAAGCTGAAGTATTAGACATTTGGTAATCTGGCGAAAAGAAACGATGTTAAGAAAAAAAAAAAAGATAGGATTGAAGGAGATGAAAGGAAATAACAAACATGGAACAGAAGACGTACGAAAACTTTGTATCGGGTAAAAAGGATGAGAAAATGTAATTTCTTTGGATAAGATGTGAATTGTGATAATGGAGTCGGTGGGAATATTTACGCAAGGTGGATGGTTGATAAAGGAGGCAGGTGAAGGATTGAAGGAATGAAAATGGGGGTCATACGATAATAACTCATCGTATGATGTCAGTGGGAAAACTCGTTTGAGAAGAGTATTTCCGGCCATTGGGAAGGAGATGAATAGCCGGGAGGGGGAGAGAGAGAAAAAACGAATATGTGATGAGGATGCGAAAGGATGAGAGGAGGAGAAAGGAAGGGTCAAACTTATGGTCCGATCTGAGAGAAGGACAATACAGTTTACTCTGAAAGTCAAAAAAAAAAGAGTTTTTGCCTTCCAGAGTAAAATCTGACAACAACACACTTTCTCAAATTTGTGCCGATAGATATTACAACGGCTGTACACTGACTCAATGTTTTGGTGTAATCTCATCAACTCAACTGCATGTAACACCCTTTCTGTTACTAAGAAATAGCTTCAACAATATTGCCTGAGCACCTACAGAATTATATGTAGTGAATTTTGGGCACAATTTTTTCAAAGTCAAAAAAGTTACATGTGGTATAACATGTGATTTATTTCTGCTGGTGGGCAAAAAACTGAGCAGACCTGTATGTACACAATAGCCAACTATTGACCTAGCTTGCTGCACATATGTAGTGTGGGTGAAATGGCTCAGGTGTGCAGTATTAGATTCTTTTATGACAAACTGTACTATCGATCATTTTCCTCTTACAATTTGGGGAAGTTGATGATGTTTACAGTGTCCTATTGTCCTGAACAATCTATCAAGAAAGAATCATTCAAACCCAAATCATTTTGATCACTTCAATTAATTCTGTTTCAGTTTTCAGGATTGATTGGAGGTGTACCCAAACCTGTGCCAGCACCGCACCACACCACAGCATGTGTTTTTTTGGTGTGTTGCTCCACAACACACAACCAAAACCAGCATCAGAAACTGTATTGCGGTAAGTACCACAACAATAAATTTAAGGTGAGATCAGGCTGTGTGCCACCCTGACCATTGCACAATGCAACAGGCGCAACAGCTCCTAAAAAAAACCATTGATTTGACAGATCTTGTTGAGTGGTGGATCAGGCCGCAACCTAGAAATTGATTCTATGTTGTGGTGCGCTCAGAAAAACCGCAACACAGGTGCAGCACATTATGCAGCACCTGTGTTGCTGGCCCAGGGTTGGTGTACCTAAATCAAAAGATGATACTTGAATCATTTGCAATGAGTTACAGAGCTTTATCACAATTATGATGATGGTCTGTGAGGCTAATTAACTGAAGTGCAGTGGGATCATTTAATCCAAGGTTTGAAAGTAAGAAATTGAGTATAAGCAGATATTATTGATCATAATTGATTATGTCAATAATAAATTAGTTGAAATGTGAATTTTTGAAACTTTTGAGAAGAAAAATTGACAGAGTTGATCAACCATTGAAATTATGATTGATTCATCATTGAAACTGTAATTGATCATTGGAATCAGCACAACTACATATGTCAACGGTCTATATACTCTGAAAGAATTGAATTTTCATAGAGGGATTTCACTCAATGATCAATTCTGAATAGTTTTTTCTGGTATTCTAAATCTCTTTCACTCTATGAGCTAATCAAGACACTACTCTGATATGTACTCAGTCTTCATCCTGAAAATAGTTTTATTGACAGATGGTGAGTTTGGTTTCAAAAAGACAAGTGTACATCTTGAAATCCTCTTGGTGGATCTGGGCATATGTACCAGTTTTGTAGGGCAATATTTGTAGTACATGTACTGGAGTACACCTTTGTGAAGTTCAAATCAAGCTGAGATCAATGGAGTTAGATAAACAAACCTTATTCCAACAGTTTTCAAGAATGTGAATTCTTCTTACTGATTGGGAGATAGATATATACCCAGGGTGTGATGATAATGTACAATGCAGTGCAAACCATCACAAACAATTCAAAGAAGGGTGAATCTGAGTATAAGAGCAGTAAGAAAGATGATGAAAGATCAAGAGATTCAATTGAAGGTTTGGATAAGGGGCTTCTGTTGTGAGTGAATTTTGAAATGAGAATGTTTGAAAGGGATGTTTGATGATCGAGTGTTGATTACATGACAGATTAAATTTTAGAGTTAAGTTGAATGGTTAAGTTCACTTAAGCGTGTTAGGTTGAATGGTGATGATGATGAATGGTAAACAGAGAAGTTGTTCGATTGAACTGACTGAGACTGACCACTGACCACTGACCATTGACCATTGACTTTAACTAAACGAACAATCCAACTACGATCACGAAGAAGAAACCAAAACACATCATCATTGGAAACTTATCACTTATCTTTCTCATTCATCTCAATCCTATTTATCATCATCATTCAAAAATCAATCTAGATCATCATTCAATTCATCAAAAAACCAAAACAAATCACTTATAGAGTATACTTGAAGAAGAAAAACTAATCACCGATCATGTTGCCTTGGGCTCCGACTCGAGATCTAGCGATTCAAACTCAAAATTACTTACAAACCTTTGGAGGAGGAAATCTAGGAACACCAACTGGAGCAGGAGGAGATCAACCGAACAATGGAGCTTATAATCATCAAAATCAGTTTAATGGAATGTATAATGCTCATAATCAACAACATCCTCAATCTCAAGTACCACCACCTTCTCAATCTCAATCGGGACCACCACAATATCCTCAACAACAACAACAGCAGCAACATTATCAACAACCACAACAACAGCAGCAGCAGCAGCAGCAACAACAACAACAACAACAACAACAACAGCAAAGACAGCAGCAGCAACAACAACAACAGCAACAACAACAACAACAACAACAACAGCAGCAGCATCAGTCAAATCTGAATAATGGAGGGAACCCAAACAATGGTCCGATCAATCCAAATCAACCCACGATCACTTTACCCCAAGTCTTGCATTACCTACAATCAACTCATCGAACTCATCTGAGTTTACAAAACAGTTGGGAAATCGAACGAGCCGAATTAAGAGCAAGAGTAGCACTTTTGGAAGGAGAAAAACGATCGTGGGAACAAGCTAAGACTGATTTAGCTCGAAGAGTTAGAATGTTAGAATGGGCTTTGAAAATGGAAAGGTACGTCTTGATGTGCTTTATCTTGAACAGGTGATCGATTTATTGACCTTTTTTCGAATGAATGAATGATTCCTTTAGATCGAAGTATCTTTCACAGAACCAAGCTAAGGACGGTGCTCCTACTCATACTTTGGCTTTACCGGCTGGTAAACTAGCTGCTTTGAAAATGGGAGAAATAAATGCTATGACAAACCCAACGGGTGTAGAAACTCCACCTAGACCTGAAAGTCCAAAGTACGATGATCCTGCATTAGCTGCTGGAGTGACTAGTACGTTTTTTCATTTCTTTCAACGTTTGAAAACCATCATCCTCATTTTCTGGTATATATTATAGATCGAACAAATGCACCGGTCTTAACAGTTTCAGAAGCAGATCAAGCAGGTCCTACAATCTCGATCGCACCACCTTTACCAGCTGTTGCAGCTCAAAACATGCTTCGAATCGGTACGAATGGAAATAATAATAATGGTGGAGGTAATACTTGGGCGGCTGGAACGATTGGGGCGGGTATGAATACGATGACGGGAACGGGTGGAACGATTGCTGGGTTTGGAACTACGGCTATGGGGATCGGTAGAGATCCTAAAGCCAGAGCTCGATCTCGTGATTATCTCAAGCAGTTGAGTTTTCTTGTATTCTCGTTGATTTACTTGAGTTTAAGATCGAACATGCTTGCTAATTTCTTTTGAATCTGGTTAGGTGTTTACAAGAAATCAATTACCTCACGTCGATGCCTGTATTAAATCCATTACCACAACATTCTTCGTTGATACCAGGGATCGAAAGACCACGAAAGACATTAAACGATCCACAACAACAGCAACAACAACACCAACAAGGTGGTATGAATCTTAATCATTTTCAAGGTGGTGGTAATAATCAAAACCCTCAACAACAATCCCCTAACGCTCATCATAATCCAAATCATAACATGATCATCAATAAAGCTCATACGATCGGAGGAGGTGGAGGAGGAGGGACTTTGTTTGATCAACAACAACAACAAAATCGAGGAGGGTTATATCAAATGAATCCCAACGATCATTCTAATTTTGCCACTGGAGGAGGACCACTACCAGCAGCACCTGTGATGACCCGAGCTAGGAGTAGTTCAAGACCTATGATAGCTGCACCATCACCACCACCTCAACCGCCATCTAGTCTTTCAATCACTAACACCCAACAACCTACACCAGCACCGCCCCCATCACTAACAGTTGCTAACTTACCATTACTTTCACCTAGTAGTAATGTAGATTTTGCGTCAGCTTCATCAACTGATACGATCAAAGGACTTTCAGTATTTGAAGATTTAGATGAAAGTAGATTAACAGCGATCTATAGACCTGAATCATCTGATGCATGGAAAGAACAAATTAGATTAGCAGGAGAAAAAGAGAAAGAGAGATTAAAGAATCTTAAAAAAGTGGTGAATAATGAGAATGAAGGAAATGAACTTGCTGGGACTGGGACTGGGAACGAAGATCAAACTCAACGTAGATCATCGGTTTCTAATCCATCACAATCTTCAAGTGCTACGACCAATCCTACGGGAAATTCGGAGAGTTATAAGATGTGGAAACCTAAGCGGACATTGAGATCGTGAGTGTTTGAATTCAAGTGTGTGAGGAGGGATGAGTGTACTGATTATGATTTGATACAATTGGGTCATGATAATGCAGTCATCTTGATGCGGCTAGGTGTATGGCGTTTGATCGAACTGGACTTGCTATCGTTTCTGGTAGTGATGATTGTACAGTCAAACTTTGGCGTTTGAATCCAGTCTCGATCTCAAAGTGAGGATCCAATTCTTATTATTCATCAAACTGTGAAAGATGTAAGAAAATATGAAAACTGATCTTGGTGAATGATTTCGATAGTCCAAGTCCATCAAGTTGGCCTGAAACCGAACCACAAATCACATATCGAGGCCATTCAGCCACCGTCACAAGTGTAGCAATTTCAAACTCACCACCCCGAATTTATTCAGCTTCATTAGATTCGACTGTGATGGTATGGTCATTACCTACACCAGAACATGAAACGTATGCACCGTTTGATTCAAGATCATTACTTTCTACATTTATTGGACATACAGATGGGATATGGGATATGGTACTCTTACCATTAAGATTAAGAGATGAAGCTTTATTGGCTACCATTAGTGCAGATGGAACGATTAAGGTATGGAGTACAGATGAATTGAATTCACCATTGAAATTAAGTTGGGGATATTATGGTACGTTGGAAGAAGGAACAGAAGAAAGTCAAGATTCTGAAAAAGAAGAAGAATGGGTCAAGCTTGGCATGAGTTTGGGAAATGAAAGTGAAGTGAAGAAAGTGAAGATCACTCCGACTTGTTTGGCAGTGGTTTGGTCTGATTTGAAAAAAGTGGCCGTTGGGTTTAATAATTCGGTCATTAAGGTTTATGAACTTGAGAATGGAAAGATGATGATGAGATTAAAGAGTGATGAAAGTTTTGGTAAGGATTGGTTCCATTATTTCTTTCGTTTATGGAAGATTTTTGAGGGTTTTTTGAATTGATTTTTTGGGTTTCTTTCTTGACTTGTTTGTAGATGGGACTACTAATACTCAAGTGAATTGTATTATTACTCATCCTACTTTACCACTCTTGATTAGTGCCCATGAAGATGGATATATTCGTCTATTTGACTTAAACACTGGTACGTTTCTTCATCATTCTATTTTTCCCTTTGATTGAAGGCCATACTAAAATCAAAACGAACCGATGAAAACCCTTGTTTTGCAATCATAGGTGCTTGTACACATTCGATGATTGCTCATTTAGATTCGATCACTTCATTATCGATCGATCCAACCGGACTTTCATTAGTTTCAGGTGGACATGATTGTTCGATTCGGTTTTGGGATCTAACTGGATCTAGAACTTGTTTACAAGAAATCTCATCTCATCGACTTAAATCAAATGAAGGAGTCTTAGATGTCATTTATCATCCGGTCTTACCTTTTGTGGCTTCTTCTGGGGCAGATGGAACGGTTAAAGTGTTTGGTTAATTTGATTTCTAAGAAAGATGAAAAATGAAAAATTAAAAATTAAAATCGAAAATGAAGAAAAAAAAGGCGCATGAAATTTGAGGACAGAAGGGATTTTTTTTATATTATTATAACTGATATCTTATATATATATTCTTTTTGTTTTCTTATTGATTTTTTTTACTTTTTTATGTTAGTTTTGTAGGAGGTTCTTTTTAAGAAGAGAAAAAGATCTGGGGTTGTTTTTTACTTTTTACTTTTCACTTTTTGTTTAACGAAATATAGATTTCATTTGATTTCATTTTTTTACAAAAAATTGGTTGGACTTGTGTTTTTTCCTCTTGGGTGTGGGCGTTGTTGAGATGAGAGTTCTTTATATGTTAAGATTATATATACAATGTGAGGTATAAGTTTTTTTTAGATGTTTTGGGTAGGGTTTGGGTGTGTGGGAAAGAACATGAGTGAACGGATGAGAAATGAGGATAGAGGATGTAAGGGATTGATGAAAGGGGAAGAAAATGATGGAATTTTTTTGACAGCAAAATTAGATATCTAAATTGAAAATTTGAATTCTTGAAATCAGTTTATAAAGATTTGTTTCATGAATTGATCTTGAAGATCGTATATTGATATTATTGACTATCTTTGATTCACTAGTTGGAATCATCATGAAATTATCATCGAGAAAAAGTTTGGTAACCTAGGTCCTGAGCTTCTCATTGTAGATGTTGAAAGTTGATCACAAAGTGGATGGAAGAAAATATCATGTTAGTTGAAAAAGGCAAATAACCTAAAGCTCACGGTCAGGTGAAATAAGCAAACTTAAGTTGAAAAAGGCAAATAACCTAGAGGCACGGCCAGGTGAAATAAGCAAACTTATCAAAGCCTCATCGTTTTTGGGGTTTTTGGGAATTTGTAAGTTTTGTGGTATAGGCTGAATTTCGGTCGCGTTATATCCATCAAAGGGAAAAAAATCGGTGACGCCCTATACTTTTTTTAGACATTATTCTTTCTTTTCATGAAAGTGTGAGTCTCCTTTTTAGGTCATTTCTTGAGACGCTGAAGAAGGAAGGTACAATTGAGGGGTTATGGGATGAGGACTGTCAACATGATAAGTCTCTTTGATCATTGAATCTGGAAAGATGAGAGTACAAAAAGAACAAACCCATACCGAAATTGAAGCGAGGCACTCGAAAAAGAAGTTGTTTGGTGCTTTCAAGGAGTTCCGCATGTAGAAATGAATATCGATAACATGAACAACAACGGCCGAAGATGGCAAGGCGGCTAGAGGACAATATCGAAAAGTGACCCAGCACTGGCACTCGCAAGGTATATGAAAGGCTGACGATATCGTATCATGTATTCTCCCCATCCGCAATTGTCATCTTCAGTTCCTTAAACAAATTGATCTTCCTCATCTCGTCTAACTCAAACTCTCACCATCTTACCACAAAAATATGAAAAGCCCAAAACAACCATCTCAAACCCCCACCAGCATCAAAGGTGGAGGGCCCCTAAGCGATTTGATACCTTTGATCATGGAAACCTTCGTCGCCCAATCCAAGTTCAAGGATCCTAGTGGGAAAAACAACGCGCCCAACCCATTCCTGCACTGGCAAACTGCAAAACAGCTCCTCAAGTTCCGTTTAGTTTCCAAAGCCTGGTGTGCATCTGTTACACCTGTCGCATTTCATTCAATATGTTTAGATAAACCAAGAAGAATCGAATCCATACTTGACAATTGGGCCCGGGGCAAGTCTACCATCAATGCAGATTTCTCACCTGTTCAGCGACTTGCAATCAAGAACTTATCATACAAGACGGTAGATGTCAAAAACTTGGATGGAAACAAACGTCGCGCTCCTGTTTCAACGGATCTGGCGATTGAAGTCATCACAACCTTTAAGCATAGCTTGACCACCTTGTACTTGGAATTTGGCACCTCGATTGGATTTCAGCCAGGCTTGATTGATTCTATCCAGCAACTCAAAAATTTGAAAAATTTGACTATCACAACTACAAGGGGCCCTGATTTCCAGACTGGTCCTGATGAGTATTCAGAATCATTAGCTAATCTACTCAATGTTTTACCGAATCTAGAAGTTTTGAGACTGGACGAGCTTTGGTTAGGTTTTTTAGATTTACAACCTCAAGCTTTATCAAAGTTGAGATCCTTCCGGTTTGCCTATTGTCAAGCTATGGAGGTGAATCCGGTTTCTCATCTATTTAATCATATCAAAGACACCGTCAAAGTACTCGATTCCACAAACTCTCACAGAACGGAAAAGTTAGAAGCAGTATTGAAACCACTCATAGGATCTCTAGAAGGTCTTGTTACGGAAGAGGTTCCAGGCGAGTTTACAGATTTCCTCATCGGTTCCAACTTTCCAAAACTTCGTGTTGTACAGGTTGAATGGCCCCGCGCAGAGGAGGATCCAGGAAAGCCAACCTCATGGCTAGGATCACCAATGTTCCAAAACGTCCGAACTTTAATCGTAGATCACTATCGTTTCAACGGACCACACTTTGAGGAGATCTTGAGTAAAAAGGGTGAAGGTGCTTTTGTCAAACCACCTAATCTAAAGCATGTTGTCTTTATTCAAAAGATTGGAAAGTTTGTCCAGACTCAAAGAGAAAAAGATCTTGCTAAAGAACTCGAGTCTCATGGAATCCAGTGTCATTATAGTTATCCTATAAGTTTTGAGGAAATCTTGGTACGTATGATTTTCATTTGAACATGAGATTCGATCGATTGTATTCAACAGTGCTGATTTGATACTATTCTTTGTTTTCTGATGAACAGGGATACGATGAAAGTCTCAATGGTCCAATGAATTGAGTCAATCGACTTTTGAAGTCAGCATCTGTGATAACGGTCATTAGAACGCGTTTTAACTTACAGGAATCGGGAGCCAGAGACTTTACCTTTTTCATAGAAACGATCAATGTTGTACTTCTTTCTCTCTCATCTTTTACGAAGTTGTTTATCTCATTTGTTCATTGATATTGATTATCAACAGTTTTCAGCTATCAAATTCATTCTTAACCTTTCTCAACAAGTTTAAAATCAAGTTATAAAAATGTCCATACCCTTCGTCCGTTCCATTTTGCATTTTTATCTTTGTTGTCTAGTGATCATCCCATCAGGCTCTCGGTTGTAGCCATTTTCGAGTCAGACCCTCCGGCGCCGTCTTGCGTAATTTGAGCAGTATTTTGAAAAACTCTTTAGGAACACCCAAGACCCACATGCCAAATACTATTCCATTTCTCTGTAGAAAGCTGTGAATTTATGAGATTGATAAATCTAATCAGTGAGTTTGATAAGTGAGAAAGACAACAGACTTACGAACCCAAATCCAAACATAGAGATTTTCATATTGGTATCAGACTTCCCACTAATCATCATAGCTTTCAAAGACTCGCATGATTAGAACTTTATGGAAATCAGACACCTGGGGTCTTGTCTCAAATTTGATAGTCCACAGCCAAAAGCCAGCTACCTCCATTACACTGAAATCTGCAAGCATATGGTGTGACAGCTGGGTAGTACTAGAAGAAGGTTAAGCTCAAACTATTTATCAAGCCCAAATCATGATAAGTAGGGTTGAGCTTGGTTTGAAAAAACAAAATTTACCAAAATATGTTATGATGTTTTCTGGTCAGGAGTCATAGTGATTGGTTTCCTTATCATGATAATCAAAATCAATAAAGACATAGATGAAATGATAAGCAGATGGTTTCATTTTTTGTTCTTATTGAAGATTTTTTTCCATTCTCATATTTTATATTTTGTTTGTTAAAGTTTATATGTAATTTCAGGCTGAATATCGTATGTTTTTATTTATTTTTCCATCATGTCAGGTACCCGCCCCATGTGGGGTGCTATCAATTGTGTGCCGTATCATTTATGTATTAGTATTTCTTTATTCAAATTTCCATTTTGAGATTACACATCTTCACAATGAACTCTCACCAAATATGTCTACTGTAGCAGGACCCAAGAATTCGGGTAGATTGTTAATGTTGCAGACAATGTCCATTGTGGACTTTGCTCCCCTGTTTGCCAGACCACATACACCACTTCATTTACATTCCCAGGTTTTCTGTAACTAACAACATGTCAATGATGACTTTTGGCTTGTTAGTTTCTGATATCTGACAGACTTAGACCACTGTGTGTGTGATATATGTTTGATTCTGTATGCTGTGTTGTTGTCTTGGCATTGATCTGTGGAAGATAGGATGTGTGATGTTTCTTCCAATCTTAGCTGAGATAAATGTGGGCTGTTTCACATAAATGTTCAGTGAAACTTATACAATTTTACTTGAGTTGCACCCAGATAAATCTTCCAAATGATTTCCATGAAAAATCTGATAGGTCATTTTTCAAATTAGGTTCATTTAAAAGATGAATAACTTAGGATGAAATTGTATCTGATATGATGTTCAACACAAGTTTTCAATGAGATACTATTTGACATGTTTCAAGCTACATGGTGCGCTAAGGTGCACTGAGGTGCATACAAACTGGGACCACAGGTGTGCACAATCTTATACTTGAAATTTTGAAGCAGTTTTTGTTTCACTGTATTTCAAAACTTGACTCCAACATGATCTAAACTTTGGCAAACAAAATATAAAATATGTCAATGGAAAAAAAATCTTCAATAAGAACAAAAAATGGAAGCATCTGCTCATCAGTTCATCTACCTCTTTATTGATTTTGATTATCATGATAAGGAAACCAATCACTATGACTCCTGACCAGAAAACATCATAACATATTGTTTTTTTTTTCAAACTCAGCTCAACCCTAGTTATCATGATTTGGGCTTGACAAATAGTTTGAGCTTAACCTTGTTCTACCCAGCTGTCAACCCATTTGCTTGTAGATTTAAGTGTGATGGAGGTAGCTGGCTTTTGGCTGTGGACTATCAATTTTGAGACAAGACCCCAGGTGTCTGATTTCCACAAAGTGCTGCACATGCGAGTCTTTGCAAGCTATAATGTGTACCAATGTGAGAATCTCTATGAGTACAGAAGCCATGATAAGTTATAGATAATAGAGGCTTCTTGAATAGGACAGCGGGCTTCCTTTTCCCTCGGGAACCTCCGGGCCACCCGGGCCATCGTACGTCAGCTCATCACGCTACGGGTCGTCCTCCCAGACGTCGCTTGCGGGTATCTCAATGAGCTTTTGTTGTTCGAATGGCTCTTGAGTCAACGAGTAACTCGACTCAACAAACTAAAGATGGTACGTATCTTTCATTGTCTACCACATCACAAAAATAAAGTAGATCGATCTAACATCTTTGCAATCGTTTGTTCAAATAGCACGGAGTTCAAAGACCTAAAACTGTCACACCACGCCATCCTAGTGAAATTGAAGAAGAGAGATTACGATTGGAAGAGTATCAATTATTGAATAAGAGTTTATTGGAACGAGTTGAGTTTTTGTCAATACTATTCATTGCTTCAAACTCTCCAGTAAAATTTCTTTTTGATATCCTTTAAAATTTCAAAAGAAAACTGATTTGGGACATTTCGATGTTTGGTTGAATTTTTGGTTTTGCTTCGATCGAAAGAATCACAGGAAGGAGTATGAAGAAGACGATTCATTTAATTTGAGTACAGCACTTTTAACCTTAAATCCAGAACATGTAACAGCTTGGTCGTTCCGAAGAAAATGTTTAATCTCAATCATCAAATCAAATGAAGTTGATCACAATGAAATAGGATTAGAAAAATTAAATGATGAAATGAAATTTACGTTTAAAAGTTTTGAAAATCATCCAAAATCTTATTCGATTTGGGAACATCGTAAATGGATTCTAAAACAAATGAAACCTCAAGATTGGTTAAATGAATTGAATTTGGTGGAAAGATTACTTAAAAAAGATGGGAGGAATTGTGAGTGAATCTTTATAATCAAATGAAAAGTTTATACTAGAATTAAACAAAACCAAACTTGGTTGAATATTGGTTTTTCGGTCAAATGACAGGGTTTATTCTTCTGTTCTTTTCTATTATCAATTGTTATACTTGGTATAACTCTAGTTCATGTATGGGGATATAGACGATTCTTAATCTCGATGATTTCAAGTCAAGACGATCAACTTTCATCTGAAGAAAGGTTTAAATCTGAATTAAATTTTACAACAAAACAGATCGAATCCAATTTTTCAAATTTTTCTGCTTGGCATTATCGATCAAGATTACTTGAATCTAAGTTTTTAGATTCTAAGACAGATGAAAAAGAGATTAGATTGAAAGAAGAATTTGAATGGGTTCGGAATGCTTTATGGATTGATCCGAATGATCAAAGTGGTTGGCTATACCATCGTTGGTTAATGAGTCATAGTTTAGTTCTTCTGATTTTGATGATTTCAAGAAAAGCTTGATAGAAAAACTCAACTAATGATCATTTCTAATTCGTAGACAATCGAGAAGATGTTCGGGAAGCAGAGATTGGATCGATCAAAGAATTATTAGAAGTTGAACCTGATTCGAAATGGGCATTATCCACATTACTTCAATATTGTCCAAATGAAGTAGATGTATTGAAAAAGTTAGTCGAATTAGATCCATTGCGTAAAGAGCGGTACTTGGATGTGGCGAAAGGTCTTGTAAAAGTTTGAGGGATTGGGAATGTTTTTTTGCTTGAGAGTCTTGTTGCTTTCCCTTTCATGTTCGACTCTTTTTGTTTTGATTTCATTTTCTTTGTTTCTTCTCAGCTTTTGGTCTCATTGGATTTAAATTCTCTACCCTTGTTTTCTTCAAGTCCTATGATACAAGACTAAAGGAGGTTTCAAATCATTCATTTTGGCTTATAGAGCTTCTTAATCTTCTATATGCATGTTTAGAAGCTATTTATGTGCCTTCATAAAAAATGTGCAGGGAAATTTAGAAATGACTTTTTTGATCCGGCAAAAAAAAGCGGCCCACAGCCCGACGAACACGGGGCCGGGTGACAGCCCCAAGTGAAGAGTTGGGAGTCGGGACAAATGTCAGCAAATGTCCTCCGTGTGATTTGGATGACTGCCTGAAATGAGATCATACATATCTCAAAACTTTAAGTGGTACTTAAAGTCCTGTATGACTTAGCTGTCACCCACAAGTTGACCATTTTCAGTCCTACCTTATAATCCAACTTTCTTCACCACTCCCAGCTTTTCTAGTCGAACAATTTATAAATGGGGACACAAAAGTAAGAAGTTTCCTTCTCCAGAATCACAACATCAACAATTCTCTAACCTTTCGTTCTTCTTTGTCTTTAGGTTCGAGCTTTGAGCAAGTTTTGCACTAGGTGAAAAGATCTCGCGTTCCCGTCCCCTAAACGAAAAGAAGATTTTTTTTTAAACAAAAAGGAAATCTTGATGGTCTATCGTACTACTTACCTTTCATCTTTTGTTTAATAAACAGTTTATTAGATTTTAACGCTTCGGTTCATTTATTTGTTCCTTGATGGCGACTAAATCTTTGAGAAATTTGTTTAGGAAAGATGAAGTTGGGTATACCGGTGGTGCAGACCGACAATCTTTTTTGTTCGAATGTTGTTTCTATTACTTTTGTACTGTACTGTGGTGTGATCTCATTTTATTAGAAATCTTGGGCCGTCAGTTTACTCCAACACTAGTTGTGTTGGTATCTGTTTTAACCAAAGTTCGCAATTTCGAGGTTTCAACTTCTCCTCCGATTCTTCACCCTTTTGAAAATCTCTTCACTTTCACCTCCCATGGAGATCATCTAGAGAGTCTTGCCACCGCACTTGAGTGCCATTGATCAGTGAGACGTGCGTGACAAGTTTCCAGGTGCTTCTAATCGTCACACATGACCGAGCATAACACTTCGAAAGTCGTATACAGTCCACGACGAACCAAGTTTTGTTTGCCTGTCGCACAGCAAGCGCGTGGACTCTGGAGTAAGCTTAACTAAGCCCTTCTTTCCGCGTTTGCCGTGCTGAGAGGGGGCTTAGTTGAGCTTGACTCTGGAGCCATGACAAACTGCAAAGTCGGTGGAATTGATTCAGGAGGGCGACCCGAGTATCTCTCAGAAGTGATAAGACGACAGGAGCAAGCAATGGAGAAGTCTCCCTGTGTTCTTCTCTGATCACCACCCCAAGATCTTTGGATCATGCCACTCTGAGTCATTCAATACTCTACTCCAAAGCTGCGGCTCTGAGCCATGCTCAAATTCAACTTATTGTTACAGTAGATTTCGAAAGGCTTGAAATCAGAGAATTCAAAAAATCACAAGCCGGCCCGTGCGCGGCGCAGCACCGGCCAAAAAATGAAGTGGCCGGGCTGTCAAATAACTTGTCTCGAACAAGGATTTGCGGATAGCTTCTTGTACTAACCTGCAGATCCTCAACAACCTTCAAGAAGTTCATCACATCACCATCTCGTCTTACAACATTTCCGATTCCAGATGCGAAGCTTTTTGATGGCCAAGGGTAGGGGTGGCCTTTTCCTATTTGACTCCGGCAACAATCGCATCTTGATTCGATCTTCAGAAGCCTCATTGTGTCTTTATCCCAACTCCATCAAACATTTCATCTTATACCTCTTTTTGGCGTCAAATCCTTCCGTCTTTCTTCTAAATCACTTTCTAAAAATGGCTCCAACTCCTGCTAGTAAATTGAAGTCTGCCAGAAACTCTCATGGATCTCAACCTCCGTCTAATAACAATCACAACCACACGTTAGTACCCATGACAAATGCTACCACCAATTATTGACTGATGAATGTCACTTATCTGTTGCAGAATGGATTCTCATACCGCAGAATCCAACACCACCGACCACGTGGATGCCGCCAAGCAAGAGCGAGATTGCTTACTTGCCCCGCTCGACTTTGGGTATCTCTTGGATCCAAATATCGTCGGAAGCAATACCACATCCGGTATCAGATCTTGAGATTTGTCTGTGCAGTTTGACTTCCGCCATGAGACTCCGGAAAAAGAACCATGTAAGTAATCATTTAATGAATTGTTTTGGTCACGCACCGACTTTGTTCATTTCTCTCATAGTTCTCAAGCCAACACCCGAGGAAAATACTGGTAAGTGTTTCCCTAGTCTTATTGAAAAAAAATAATGCGCTGACAATTTCTAGTTCCTGCGTCCAAAGTTGTGAAGCAGAAGCTTCATGATCTTACGGTTACTTTAGCCTTATACACCCCTGAAGCAACCACTGGGCCTGTCAAGGCCAACCACAAAAGAAAATGGGTTGCTCAAAAGTTTCTCGTGACAAAGCATCAATTCAACATCTTGGATTATTCTTTTGATTGTTTGAAATTGTTCTTATGGACAATTGCCGACAAGATCCGCAATGATACCACAGGTGGTATCAGTGCTCTATTCCAAACTGCTGATGCCAACAAACAACTTTCAATCAGTGTCTATGTTTTTAACCACTCTACCTATGACAAGGGTAAATTGGGTGATAACATTGTAACACTTGATGAACATCTCAAAGCTTTCTTCCAAGTGGTTGGCAATAACCCAACTCAAGAATTGGGTATCGTTGTCTCGATGGAGCATCCAGCAAAGGCAGCTCAAGTTGTTGCCGTTGTAAGTAGTTATCTTTGTTTCTTTTATGTTCTCTTTTGCTGACTGTAAGGTATGTTTGAACGTTTTTCCCTTTCTATTTAGGAATGGTCTTTAGCGCACACCGTCTTGAAAGCCTCCAATACGGTTTACAAAGGTCGACTCACTCAGCAAGACAAGCTCGTGCACTCCAACCCCGTCCCAAAACACAAACTTGTCTTAAACGAGTTGGTGTGTCACCACGAGAAAAAAGGCAACAGTGCTGCCGAAGGTTATCGAGTTATCAATACCAAGGACAACAAGTTGATAATGGACTTATCTTTTGAGCATATGATCGAGTGGGCTAAGTTACTGGTCAGTTTTACTCTGGTCACGGACTATTCTTTCTTGCTATTTATAAACCCCTTCTTCTATTCTTGTTTTTCTTTTGGACCAGGCTGTCGGAACTACCGGCGTCACTCTGGACATCCCCCCTGAAAAGATCCCCGGGTTCAAGTGGAAAAGTATCAAACAGACCATTGTTCATACCACCCCTCACTTTGCTGCAAAGCAAGCCAAGACTGGCTCCTCAACCACCAAAGCCCCTTTGACCGCGTGGGGGTACACCAAGATGCAGGGGATGCATATCAATGTTGATATCATCGAGGCAAGACGCCTGGCCCACTTCACCACCATTGACGACTTCATTGCTTTTGCTCGAGTTCCACAAGACAAAGTGGACACAGTTACGGAAATTTTGGAAGAGAACAACATTCAAAGTATTTTCCATGTCTATTCCCGGACGCTTTCAACGCGTGCGACTTGGAAGGCTGGAGCATTTGTTTTGGAACTGGGTTGCACTTGATGGACAGTGCTTGTCGGTACTATGCTCATCTGGTCAAAATGGAGGAACAAAGGCTCAGAGCCATGCCTATCGTGATTAGCGACAATACCAACACTGACCAAGGACGTGAAATCGAAGTCTTGCCAAAGAAACAAAAATGATCATTCATTACATCTTATTCCAACTCAAAAAAATGTAATACATGTCTAATGTCCTACATCCAATATAGGTCTTAGTCTTCTTCTTCTTGTTTTAAAAAATTGTATTTGTGTCTTCTACTCCCACTTAAATAAATTTCAATACGTGTCTAATCAAGTATAATAGTTAAATATATTTGTTTTAGTCTTTTATTTATTTGTTTTACAAAAACTGTATTGTTACCTTACAAAACAACCTCATAATCATTACTACATCTTACTACTTGTGCAGTTTCTGTTTTGTGAGCGTGGTACTTTGATCTGATGTTGGTAATCCATAGTGCCCCGTTTGTCCTACCTTGACCAACCTAAGCCCAATGACTTTGCGGTTCCTAAAGTGAACCGTACGATATGTCACCACCATGTGAGATACCAAAAAGATGTGGTTCATCCCCATCCTGTCTTTCCGATATATCATAATGGAACTTCAACTATGATCTTTGGCAGAAATAGCTGATGTGATCCATCAGCTAAACTCGTATGTGAGAGACAGTGGTCATGGGGGTTTCACATCCAACTTCATCATAGTCATGGGGGTTTCACATCCAACTTCATCATATCTAACCAGATATGATCATTTCAAATTGAGTCAAGAGGAAACCACTTGACTCATTTTGTTTTGCCTCTAAGGTCAGGCACACACTTGGCAAATCCAAGGGATTTCAGCTAGGGTCTTTGGACTTGGCCGTGATCTCCTCTTTTATTCCAGCGGGCAATCTATGAGATAAAACTCTTAGGTGATTCTCTTCTGCACTTCACACTGTTGGTCAATTTACTTATCTTTCATGTAAAAGAAATCACAATGGATAGAGAAGGAAATAAGATCACACAATTTTGGTGTAATAAAACTAGAACAATTTACATTGAGGAATTATACCAAGATTTGTAATTTATGAAGTCAACGTAATTCAAAGGTAGAGTAAGAAACCTGTGACTAGAAAGTACAAGTAACAACACACAAAACCTGTATAGAATACGTAAAGAGCTACATGAGAATAAAAGTGGAAATCTTTGGAGTATATAAGGTGACAAGGCAAAGTGGAAGTCCCATCCTACTCTTCATCATCAAACCGAGCATTGTATTGGGTCCAATAATGGCGAGTAGTATACCCGCTATGTGCAATTAAACGTTGCAATAGCTCACGCGTCATGACACAAGCCGCAAGTAAAAGCAGATATTCGGCTTTATCATCTTCAAACAGCCAGCACTGCTCACGTTTTAAGCGGGCCTTCATGGAATGAAAACCATTCTTGATAGGGTTCATATTGGGCAAGTAAGATGGGAGGTAGATAACAAGAACACCTGCGTGTCGACAAAGTTTGAGAATTTGCTCCCCGTGATGAACTCAAACGTTATCCAAGATTAAGACTGATTTTGGAGTGGGGTAAGGGTTCATGACTGGAAGCTATACATCAGAGGTACCAAAGAAAAGGTAAGCCAGAGAAAAAGTGATTAGCCCAGATAAGAGAAGGAGTCTTACCAAGTTGTGCTTGAGAAATAGCTCCACATCAATCCTGCGGACCGGGCCTTCAATGACTGTCCCTGCTATCATCCCCTGCTTGCTGACAGCGGGCAGTAAAGTCCAATGGGGACACTGGGTATCCCGCTTTTCTCAAACGGTTTGAGATCCACGCTTAGCATAGCTCCGTTTTTGAGATACGTCACAGCCAACTACGCCGCTTTCATCTATAAATTTTACCTGGCCATTAGTTCCAAGTACAGACAGAACCAGGACGGGCCACGCAGGACAACCAACCAATGAAAACCAGGCATTCTGGAGGTATTCCAACCACCCGCCACACAAAATCCGTCTGTTCCTCGAGGGATTGATTTGGATGAACACCTCAGGTCATCAAGAGAGACATTCCTAAGTGGTTGTGGATTTCACGTGTGATGGTTGCACGTGATACTTCTAAACCGGTCAAATCCTTGAGGTCGGATTGCAACTCGTCCAAGTAAATTGAGGGGTGATCTGTCACTAGGTTGTAGAGGATGGCAAGATTCTTGTTGGACAAAGCGTGTGGGCGGCCAATAGGCTTGTATGTGGCCGGGTCTTTGATGACACGGTTGGTGCGTAGGTAAATTTGTTTCCATCGATAAGTTGAAACAGCGGAAATTGACGTTTGTAGGCGCAAGTTGATGTCATCAAGGGTGATGTTTTCCACCGCCAACTGGGTAGCCAGGAGCTTGATTTGCTCCGAGTACGTCACAAAACCCATGTCGAGGGTAGAACCAAAGGTAGGCTGGGTTTGGAATAAACAAGAGGGAATGGGATTGAGCTCGCTGAGCATTTGGCAATGAGAGCAAGAGAAGGGATCAGAGGCAATGAGAGGTAGAAAACAAATTGGGGGACTGAGGGATCACCCCAACCAAAACAAAAGTATAAAGGAAGTTGAAGAAAAAAAAGAAAGCTGATCGATGTTCTGTAGATCAGAATCAATGTTCTGCAGATCAAAGGTGGTGTGATGGGTTATTTGACAGCCCGGCCACTTCATTTTTTGGCTGGTGCTGCGCCGCGCACGGGCCGGCTTGTGATTTTTCGAATTTCCTGATTTCAAGTCTTTTGAAATCTACTGTATGTTCAAAGTCATATACTCACACACTTTGAATACTTTCAAAGATGCGAGTCCATGTTTTCATTTCATGCTATGAGTATGACAGCTTAGCTGACTTACTGATTCCAAGCATACCCAGGCCACTCAGAAGAATACTCTGAGAGTCAACCCACGGGTCAAGCAAACAGTCGGAAAGACGAGACAGAAGATTTCAGTACTGGCACATATGGGGACAATTCTGATGATGAATGGGATAGTGATTCAGACAATGATGAACCCAAAAAGGTGTGTATATATGGATCTTGAAGTTCTCTGATAGATCATTTGGCAAGTGAAGTAAAACTGATCTGTGATACTGATGACAGGATGCTACATTCAAAGCCACCATTCATGTCATGGACACCTCGTCAGTGAAATTCTCTTGCTAAATGCTTGCTCTAAGAATACTCATTCCCCGATATTGTAGCCGACAAACCTACAGAGCTTTCATCGATTATGCAATCTGCGGGTTAGTGAAGATGATTTCAAAAGCACTGCCGCCATCCAGCCTGCAACTCTGATACTTTTTCACAATTCCAGCGCGTTGTATTTTGCACCCTTGCCATCTAGATACCAAAAAAATATGACAAGATTTAGGACATCCCGCACAGAGCACTTAACTCCTTGGCCCCAATGGGCCTCGACTAATTGTACTCGTCATACCGTCATACCAGGTTTCCAAACCCTGACAAGCCCGAAGAGTCTGTACCGCCTTGCTGACAGTAAGTCAATCTTGAATTCAAACGCTCTGGCCCATGCGAGCTTCACGATGATCTCTGATGCACATTCTTCCGATGAACTCGACTCAAAGTGTTGATCATTCCTGAACTTAAAGCTACATGTCACAAACAAATCATTGAGTCCCTAGCGGAGTACAATGTAATCTCTGAGACTAAGAGTTCACTTTTTGCGCAACACGAAGAATTGCGTGTGGAAGCCTATAAATTGATTCGCCAAAACTGGCAGAAATATTGGGGCCCTGAGATTGTTCCTTCAATCACAAATCTTTCTCCAGAGGAGGCATCACTCTTTTTTAAACATGTACTGAAGGGTCTTGCTCCTTGAAACCTTTTTCACCAACTGATCTACATATTGTGATTTCTTGGTTCAGAAAGGTATTCTAAGTTGAATTGATCTCTAGCGGAAGAGGAGTTGTATGTGGGTATCTGTGCTTATTTCTCATCAATTTTTCATGTTGTTATGTCTTGAAAGTCACCCAATACATGTTGAAACAATCCCAAAGATGAGTTTCAAGATCTGAACTCGTGTTTATGGTGTACAATTTAGCTTTGTCACAATCTCACACATTTTTTCAACATGCATGCTCAGGACTATCAGGAGAATATGTATTCGACAATATTTCCTCCTCATGGTACGACAGTCAGATGCTGTGAAATGGGAGATACACCTCAAGTAATTGAAAAACCAAGAGAAGTTGAACTTGTAGAAGAAGCATTTTTTGTTGCAGAGTGAGCAAAGATTGTTCTCAGGTTTCCCTTAAAGAAGCAATGCGTTATGGGTTGAGACATCATGATGGGATTTCAAACCATTTCCTCAGCCTTCATCCACTGAAAACAATCACGGGAACAAGGATGAGTTGAGCCGGAGTATGGCTTACAGATTTATGGGCTTTTGTAGGGACGACTAAACTCTCCCTCGCTGATTGCGGGGAATTGTTGTGTTGGACAACCGTGAAACAGTCAATTTTTTCTAGTTTTTTCTTCATCATCTTCATCTCTTGATCACTCTGGACTCTGGGTACCTGGGTGCGGCGGTTAGTCGGTGCCGAAACTGGTGTCTCAAGATCATAACTCAGCTTCATTAATAGGAATCCGGCACTCAGAAAATCCGTCTGATTGGATCAGAACCTACACTCACGGCGCATTCAAGTAGAACATGGCAGAGAAACGTACGGTGACAGTGAGTATGTAGACATAAAGGGATTCATTCTTCATATCACTCATCTAACTCAGTACAGATCTCTTGAGCTCAGCTTCCGTTGTTCGCTTGCTTATCTTGCAGGCTCGCGGCAAATTTTATAATCTTAGCCAGCATCTAAGGTCCGAGACGTATACTAAAACTATCATTGCCACAATAAATTCGGGCGAAGAGCATCGCCTGATTGACCCACGACGTTCCCCAGCGGAGCATGTGTACCGTACGGATTGTCCTCATGTATTCCAGCTAAGTAGACGAAAAACCATAACGACAGTGAAAACATCGCCGATGGGACAATCTTCAACCTCGATGGAAGGAAAGCAGTTGATCCTAGACGAATTGATCGTTCATTTAAGTGATTCGGTGTACGAAATGTATGCCAACTGGACCATGACATGGGAGGTCAGCTCAAGCCACTTCGAGATCACCTAGTTTAAGCGTTGACGTTGCTCTTCGGTGCAAATCGGTACTTTGACACGACGTGGGCACCATCTAGTTTGGGATTCAGGCTGCCGGACGATTCCAGATCATTAGTCAGGCTACTATCACTCCGCACATCGACCCGATCAAGTGGAAGACTATTGTTGTGGGTAAAGCGGAGGACACACAAGGATTGCTTACAAAATATTATCCTAATGTACGTATGCATCACATGTATGAATCCAGACGGGATACTGAAACTTGCGATCACAGAACGCACTAGACTTCATTGTAACGTGGTCCCGTGAAGAGTCGTCACCCGTATTGAATAGCACTCAACGCGAATTGAATGATCTGAAGAGAGCAATGTCGCAAATGCAGACGGCTATGCTTGAAAGTTTCAACTGTCCCTCAATTGACATCACTCGTTTGGTATTTCATTCGAAACGCAGCGGAACTATCAAACATCTGTATGTTCAAAGTCATATACTAACAAAGTTTGAATACTTTAAGAGATGTTTGTCCAAAGCTCTTCATTCCATATAAAGTCTATAACCAACTCACTGACTTCTTGTGAGTTGTCCAGGCCACTCAGAAGAATATTCTGAAACTCAAGATACGGATAATTCACAGCCTAAAGATCAGGTAGCGAAACCTAATGAAGGGCTATTTCGGGACGATTCCGACGAGGAGTGGGACAGTGATCCAGAAGATGTTGAACCCAAAAAGGTACTTACATTGAGACCTTGAAGTTTTCTCAGCCATCTCTGATACGATATTATGTGGTGAGTGAAGTGAAACTGATCTGTGATCACAGGATGCCAGGTTCAAAGCAACCATAAATGTCACAGACACCTCGTTAGTGATTCTCTCTTCGGGTGTATAGTTCGCTTGAAGGATGCTCATTTTAACGGTGTGTAGTCGACGAACATTCCGAGCATTTATCGATTATGCAATCTGCGGGTCAGTGATCGTTATTTCTCATTCAAATAGTAATTGTGAACACTTCCATATCTTAGGCTGAAGATCTGATCTTTTGTCACAAACTCAGAGCTCTGTATTTCGCACCCCTGCGATCCACATACCGAGAATACTGCTTGCCGTATGTTGCAGAATTCAGGCAGGCCATCACAGAGCACCGTAGTCCATGGCCTGAGTGGGCCAAAGCTCACTGCACCCCTCATAGAGTGGTACCAGGTTTCAAAACACTGACAAGCCTAAAGAGTCTGTACCGACTAGCTGATAGTAAGTGAATATCAGCACCGTATGCTTGGCTTCGAGCCATGAGGTTTTTGTGCAGGATTGCTGACGCAAAATTCTTCTGATGAATTCAAGTGTTGATCATCCCAGAACTCAAAGCTATATGCCACAAACAAATTGTTGACAGCCTAGAGCCAAATATTGTATTCACTGAAGTCAAGAGCTCAGTCTTTCAGCAGCACGAGGAATTGCGCGTGGAAGCTTATAAGATGATGCGTAAGAATTGGCAGACATATTGTGCCTTAGACATCGTTCCCTTTATCACTAATTTGCCACAAGAGGAGTCTTGGCTTGTCTTTAACCACATTCTTAACAATCTTGCTCCCAAAACCCTTCTCAGTAACTCATCTATTGTGAAAGCTGGGTCCCGGGGGGCATGAAAACACGATATATTCATAGCTGAGCAAACCTTACATGCATCTATAAAATGTCTGATTGTCGATCACCATCTTTCCTTTATGTCATGTTCATATCACATGAGAAAACAAATTAAGTATGATTTCTGAAAGCATTATCAAGCAGGTGTACATAGATATGTAGTATTACTCTTTCTGATCAGGTCAAGCAACATTTATCAATACTACCTTGTTTTTGGTTGTGTATGTTCTCTTGAATTACAGTCATCAACTATTATGTCATCATATCAAAGGAATACTGGCTGCTAGGAGAAGGTTTCAATGGCAAAGCTATTCTATTGGTTGTGTCTGTCTAACAGATATCTTCTTTGTGTAAGGTTCAGCTCCAATTATTTCTGATTTCACAATTATTGTTGAACTTTTACATCTTCACAAGTCGCAAAATGAAAGATTTAATATATGAATTTCCTGATGAATTTCCTGACCTGATTTAATTTCTACACTTGTCCTAATATTCTTACTCGTACCATGCTCTCCGTTGAGTGCAACATCTCTTGAGAAGGAATTCACTTCAGTTTCCACAAAAAAGATAGGGGGTGGCTTCTGAAAATAAGGCACTTCTTTTACCACTTTCTGCGGAACTCCGGCCTACTCCGGCTGTTTTCCTTGCCTCAAAGGTCTACGCGCGACCCACTTAATCAAATTGTTTGTGAAGAAAGCAGAAGGAAGACTAAGCACTTCCATTTGTCATACTTTTATGACCCTTGCCCCCTGATATCAGGTGGTCACACTAGATCTTTAGTACCACAAGTCACCCCTTTCTCAAGCTAACCCCTTTGATCTTGTTTATATATCTCCTCCAATTTTCCCTTTTTGTCCTACAAAGGCCGTGTCAATTGACTTCTGTAGATATGAAACTGCTTTAAATAATTTAATGAACAAAGACTTCAGATCTTGATCATCACTGATACTTTCCATTCAGCCTGTGTATTAAAGAGCCTATCTCTGTTCCACCTTGCATAATTATATCACATTATATGAGAGGTACAGAGAGTACCATTCCAACCTTTATCTTTGTTCATATATCAACTTTCCAGTCAGCCTACTGAAATCTCACTCCTTATATTATTGCATTGTTGATAGTGACTTGATATCATTCCTCAGTTAGTCAAAGTGTGTCTTATGCCGGTCCACAGTCTCCGAGCGCAAGTAGTTTAAATGAGGTATGCCAAACCCAAGCAAGGTCCATATAAATGAGAGATGTGATGAAGCTGACTTGTCAGTACATGATTAAATTTGGTTTGTACTTAGAGGGAGGGGCTTTGACAAGTTCAAGTCAAGATTAGCATTGTGGATTCGGATCATCTAATTGTAACACGAATTGAGATTTGGCCATGCACATAATCACTAGTGGTGTCAAAAGCCTTGGGAAATTGTGAGACCTTCTTGGCTTCTTTACGTGGGCTGCGGCATTGTACACTTGTACTTGCCTTTGTCTTCTTTGAAATGTAATTCTTGTCTTCCTGCGTCATTCTTGCTACTAACCCGGAGGGCATCCGGCTTCTTCATTGGAGCGGCATCAGAGAGGGTAGGTCCATACAAGTCTTGCAATTTCTCTTTTAGTCATTTGTTAGCTGGCAGTGGCAAGGAGTCAAAAATCTGACTATATCAAATTCATCATTCTTTCTTCGATTTTACTGGTCTCTTAAAATCTATTCCGCCCAGCTTGATTACTTCCAAAACGGCTTGCACTGGGTCTTCTAATCTCAGCACTTAGACACTCTGGTACATTGTATCAGTATTTTATACTTAGTGCTCATTTGAATCATAGCAATTATGGTCAAGAACCACGTGGGGACAGTGAGTAGAATTTGAAGAGGATTCAAACCCCAAATGACCACTTGTGCTTATTACTAATCTCTCAATCTCTTCTTTCATCTTTATTCGGTTCTGTATCTTAACTCTGTAGACTCAAGGACGATTTCGTAATCTTGCTGTGTATTTGAAGTTTGATCAACCCAATATCATCATTGACAAGATGACCTTGGAGGACGAGCATCACGTACATAACCCACTCTGTCGCCCAGCGGAGCATGCTTATCGCACGGACTGTCCACATGAATTCTGTCTGCCGAAACGGAAGACTAAGACGGCAGTGGAAGCATCACCGACGGGACAATCATCAACCTCAATTGAGGCACAAGAGCCGGCTGTGGACGAGTTGATTGTCCATATAAGTAGTTTGGTGTACGAAATGTATTCTGAGTGGACTATGGCATGGGAGGTCAGCTCATACCATCACCAGATTACTTTGTGGTTTTTTCATTGACGCGTCGTTTTTCTCTGAAAATTGGTATTTTGACGTTCATACAAATACAAACACCATATAGTTTGGAATCCAAGCTGAGGGAGAATTTCAGGTCATTAGTGAAGCTACTGTCACCCCATGCAGTGACCCAGTCGAATGGAAGACTATCACTGTGGGCAAAGCCATCGACACCCAAAGATTGATCAGAGGCCCGGCATTGTTTTCTGATGTAAGTATGCAAGTTATGCCTATGTGAATCAAGGCAGAAGGCTGAATCTTTGAAACGCCTTGCGATAACAGGCCGCATTGGAATTCACGGTAACGTGGTCTTGTCAAGAAAAAACTCCCCTATTGAATGTTCTTCAAAGCAAGTTGAATGTTCTGGAGACAGCAATGTCACAAATGGAGACCACCGTGATTGAACCTTCCAAGTCTCCCTCGATTGATATTACCCATTTGGTCTTCCGCTCAAAACACAGAGGAGTTAGCAAACATATGTATGTTCAAAGTCATATACTCACACAGTTTGAATACTTTGAAAGATGTGAGTCCAGATCATTTCATTTCATGCTATGTGTCTGGCCAACTTGGTTGACTGGTTATATTCTGAGCATGCCCAGGCCACTCAGAAGAATATTCTGAGACTCAAAATATGGATCAAGGAAAGCGTAAGAGGGATGGGACCAAAAGTCTTAGTGAATTGTTATACTCAAGCCGGGACAATTCCGATGACGGATGGGATAGTGATTCAGACAATGTCGAGCCCAAGAAGGTGCTTATATTGTAACGTTTCATGCTCAAGTCTTAATAGATTGTTCCGCAAGTGAAGTAAAGCTGATCAGTGAAAACAGGATGCTATATTCAAAGCGACTATCAACGTCGAGGGCACCTCGTCAGTGATTTTTTTTCTGCGCATACCTTCTTGAAGGATACTGAGTGTGATTGATCCTTTAGTCGAAGAACGTATAAAGCCTTTATTGACTATGCAATCTGCGGGTTAGTAAGATGGTCTTTGACACAAAAAAGTTTTTTCCAAAACTGCCGTACTTTAGACTGCAGATCTAATCCCTTGTCCTAAATATATTCAGGGCTCTATATTTTGCACCCCTGCGATCTGCGCATCAACGATTCTACTTGACATCGGTGGCAGAACCCGGTCGACCTCGATCCCTCAAAGAACACAGAGCACGGTGGCCTGAGTGGGCCGAAGCCCACTGCATCCCTCATACCGTAGTACCAGGTTTCAAGACTCTGACAAGCGCAAAGAGTATGTACCGAATAGCTGACAGTAAGTCAATCTCAACACCATATCCTTGACTTTCTATCAGGGCTTTGTGCACGATTTCTGATGCATATTATTACGATGAAAATCAAGTGTTGATTATTCCCGACCTGAAAGCTATATGCCACAAACAAATAATTGACTCTCTAGACGTGAAATCTGTGTTCCGTGAGGTCAAGAGCCCAACTTTTCAGCTTCACCAAGAATTGCGCGTGGAAGCTTATAAATTCACTCGCAACAACTGGAAGGCATATGGACCCTTAACCATCATTCGATTTGTAACTAATCTATTGCCAGAGGAGGCACGGCTTGTCTTTTTTCACATCCTCGATGGCCTTGCTCCTGAAAACCCTTCTTGATAAATCACCTATTTTGAAATCTACATTCTCGGGACTTGAATAACATGTATATTGTGCTTCTAGCTGAGAAAAATCAGAAAAATCTGTGTGTATGTATACATCAAAGCTATTTTCTTGATAACTGCCACATTTTGATTTGGTCTTGTTCACGTTCCATTAGGGAGAAAATTTGTGTGAAATGCCCAAGAATCGTTGGGGACAGGCATTTTCAATGAGGTATACACCAAGTTATACCAAAATAACTCACTCACACACAAGTTAAGCCCTCATAGATCAACTATTATAGGTACCGTAAGGGCTTACAATTAGTGCGGTGTAAGCGGTCTCGTGTACCTTGAAGACAGAGATAGCTACATCTGGTAAGATTATGAGTTATATGTGAGTGCAAATGTGGTGATATTTTGTATTATCAATATTTACCAATCTTCTACCTAAGCTGCAAGCAATCCATTTATGTACTTGGCAGAATTTTAGCTCTGTTCATTATGTATATGTGGGATTGGTTTTCCCAGAAATCACCAAACTTAACAAAGTCCCTTGCCAAAGGCCCGAGGTCCAAGAAATCACGTACTATTTTAGTATGATGGTGAACAGCAAGAACTTTTTACTTATCGAGTGTTTTATGCTTGAGTTTTAGGAGTGAATCTGTGGCTAGTCTGTATGCTACATTCACCGGTGGCAAATGTGATGGTGATATGCTCAAATGACTTGGTCTTGGGCTTTTTAGAATGCTTATAAAACCTCAGGGATATGACCACATCTGGCGCAACAAGAGGTGGTCAGGACATTGCTTGATAAGGCAAACAAAGGGTTTCTTTTCTCAAATCCGACTCACCAACAGATCATGAAGGATCATGATCTGTTTCCGTCAAAGATTTGGAAACCAATTCTACTGAAGTCTTGAAGCAAATCCTTTTGCATCAAAAATCTTGATATGAGCACATACATACTTTGCTGATCAATTATGCTTATACCGTCAGAATTGATCATCGCGCTGTATTGCGCATACATACAAAAATCAAGAGGCCGACATAAGAAGGAATTTTCCATGAACGACTCATCCAGACTCAACGTACGGTTGGCAACTCATCCTGCAATTCAAAGACACATCATCAATCATGGGGCCTACGGTCAAGAACGGCACGGTGGAAGTGAGTGATCATTTTTCAACCCCTTGATCGGTAGTTGCACTCAGTACTGACGTTATCCCAACCTTGTAGACTCGCGGAAAACTTCTTCATGTCAACAATTATCTAAGTTCCACCACGCAGACCAATGATATTGTTGCAACAGTGACTGAGCAAGATGAACACCGCATACATGAGCCACATTGTGTCCCAGCCAAACAAGTGTATTGCACTGCTTGTCCCCATGAATTTTGGCTCAGCAGACAAAACCCTACAACACCAACAGGCCAACCATCTTCACTTGCAAGCACGGAACTGATCATCCTTCTAAGTGATTTGGTACACGAGATGTATTCTAACTGGACCATGTCATGGGAGGTCAGCTCGGACCATCACAAGATCATCTATTTTTTCATTGACAATGCACCATGCCCGTCCCCCATGAGCACGTCGATGTGCTCACACGGAGAGTTGTGTAATAAATTTGAACGGATCTTTATTCAATTTTTCTCTAGAAAATGCAAATCCTTTGTTAATAATAATAGACAATCAAAAATGTACCGTTTGTCAATGGAAATATGAACAAAGGAGCCCATTTAACACTCTTGCTGTCTGAACCTCTTGACAAAGGAAATTGTATGCTTAGCTCTCAGACCTGTTTGTAGGTTATATCCACCCTCTACGGAAATTGATTGGTGTGAGCATGTCAACATGCTACATCAAAACAGACATGGTGGATGTGGTCTTCCATGCGAATTGGAACTGCAACATACAAGCACCATCCAGTTTAGCAGCCGTTACGGGCCACACTAGGCAAACCGGGTCAGTAGTAAGGCTACTGTAACTCCATACAGCAACCCAGACAAGTGGAAGACTATCGGTATAGACAAAGCAACAATGGACATACTCTGGATCTATAATTCTTTGGTAAGGATATGTGCTACGCACGCAGATCCAGGCAGGATGCTGAATTCTGGCCACAACTTACAATTACAGGAGACATTGGAATCCACCATAACGTGGTCTTGTCAAGAGGGATCAGTGAATAGTACTTATTGTGAGTTGGATGATATGAAGAGAGTAGTGGCGCAAATGTGCACCATATTGTTTGAAACTTACAAACGTCCCTCAATTGATATCACTCAATTGGTATTTTGGTCAAGACGTAGCGGAAAGGTCAAAAATCTGTACGTTCCAAGTCACGTACTCACACAGTTTGAATACTTTCAGAGATGTAAGTGCAAATGTGTTCATTTCTTGCTATGTGAACAGCAAACTTACCTGATTGGCTTATCACGAGCCGGCCTAAGCCACTTGGTAGAGTATGCTGAGAGCCAACAAGCGGATGGATCACAACTTGAAACAAATGAGACAGAAAAACCTGCTGAGAGGTTATACTGTGAAGATCCTGTTGAAAAATGGGATAGTGATGAAGACAATGTTGAACACAAAAAGGTGCGTATATATCTTGATGTTGTGGAGATTTCTCAGCAATTACTGCTCAATCACATGCCAAAAGTGAAACTGGTTTGTGACAACAGGATACTACATTCAAAGCAATCATTCATGTCGCGGACACCTCGTCAGTAACGCTCTCTCCATGCATATGCTTTTTTTGAAGGATACTTATTGTAACATTATAGTTGACAACATATATAGCATTTATTGATTATGTGATTTGCGGGTCAGTCGAAATTCTTTCCAACGTCAAATATGACTGTCATCACTGGCATGTGTCAGTCTGCCAATCTGACTGTTGTTCACACATGTAGAGCTTTGTATTTTGCACCCTTGCGGTCTGCATATCAGAAATACTGTGACATTATTCCCTCTTCCACCTCAAAAGTTGAAGAATCAGCCGAGAATCCATGTACTCCTTGGCCTGAGTGGGCCGAAACTCACCACACCCCTCATACCGTCGTACCAGGTGTCAAAACACTCACAAGTCCCAAGAGTATGTACTGCCTGGCCAATAGTAAGTGAATCCTGACAACACATGCTGCTTTGAGCTACAACTTAGAAAGGATCCCTGATGCACATTATTTTGATGGTATCAAGTGTTGATAATTCCCAAACTCAAAGAGATATGTCAGAAACAAATCATAGACCCCTTGAAGAAGAGCACTGTGATCTCTGAAATACAAAGCCCGTTTTTTGAGCAGTGCCAAGAACTTCGTTTAGCAGCCTAGAAAAAGATTAACAAAGGCTGGCAATAATTTTCAGGGCCTGAACTTGTTATTGTTATCACATATTTGTCACAGGAAGAGGGTGTTATCATTGTCAACTATCTGCTTGAAAAGGCCTAAAGATGGGTTGATCAACTCATTTTTCTCATTTTTCCAACAAACTGCAACATATCTCCATAAAATTAGGCCATTGCTATTTGCAGCCCACAAGAGAACCATGTAGGCGCTGCCAAAACAGCGCCTACATGGGTGTTTCCCACGAAAAAGCGCCTACATTTATGATGTAGGCGCTGAAAACCATCTAAAATGACGCCTACATGATAAACAACCCATGTAGGCGTCATTTGGTTACGCCTACATTCAAAATTTCAGAATGTAGGCGTAATTTTCAAGCACCTACATATCTAATTTGAAATGTAGGCGCTATTTTTGAGCGCCTACATTCAATTTTCAGCTCAAATAAGCGCCTACATGCAGTCTTGCATATGTAGGCGCTCCAAATCCAACACCTACAACTCCAGACTGGTCTGACGGCTAATGAAGAAGAAGTTTCAAGTTAAAATGAGAGTATTGGAAGATTGAAAAAGCAGTTCGGAGTTGAAATGAGTGTATCAGAAGATGGAAAAAGCAGCTTGGAGTTGAAATGAGTGTTTTGGAAGACGGAAAAAGCAGTTAAGCATATGGGAAGATGAATATGCTCTTTTCAACTCTGAAGTGAGTGTATCAGAAGACGTAAATAGCAGTTCAGAGTTGAAATAATCTACTTCTTTTTCCGCTTCTGATACACTCATTTTGACTCCAAACTGAGTTCAGAGCTGAAATAATTTACTACTTTTTCCGTCCTCTGATACACTCATTTTGACTCCAGAGTTACTTTTCCGTCTTCCGATACACTGATTTAAACTCCAAACTGCTTTATCCGTCTTCCGATACACTCATTTTGAGTCCAAACTGCTTTTTCTGTCTTCCAATACTCTCATTTTGACTTGAAAATTGTTCTTCATTACCCTTAAGACCAGTCTGGAGTTGTAGTTGCCGGATTTGTAGCGCCTACATATGCAGGACTGCATGTAGGCGCTTATTTGAGCTGAAAATTGAATGTAGGCGCTCAAAAATAGCGCCTACATTTCAAATTAGATATGTAGGTGCTTGAAAATTATGCCTACATTTCATTTTTTGAATGTAGGCGTAACCAAATGACGCCTACATGGGTTTTTTGACATGTAGGCGTCATTTTGGATGGTTTCCAGCGCCTACATTATAAATGTAGGCGCTTCTTCGTGGGAAACACCCATGTAGGCGTAATTTGGCCAGTGCCTACATGGTTTTCTTGTGGGCTGCAAATAGCAACAGCCTAAAATTATGTGTTCTGACTTACAGGGACATCTTGACTCAAGGACACATTTGGTTTGAAATTTGGAGACAGTCATGCTGGTTCACGTGGTGGGCGGGGCGTAAATGGCCTGCCCAGGGGCAGGCCTTCTTGGCTTGATTTTGGGGTTGGCTTGCCCATCTAAGGTTTAGCTCTATTCCACCCAATTATCATGTGATTATGGATGAAAATTGGGTGATTAGCATCTAGATTTTCCAAATTCCATGTCGGTCCTGGCAAAGATGGAGCAGAGCAGGAGGAAGGACAGAGTATGAAACTGAGAGTGTGTATATAAATGGTACTCAAAGTTGTGTATACTTTGCCGTGCATAGTTTTTTTGTGTTTTTTTCGCAACTACAAACAACTTGGAAAAAGTACGTTTCTTGATTGAAGCTCAAAGATATGTACTTTGAAGCCAAAAACATAGTTTTCCCTGTTTGTGTGAATTTGTGAAAAAAGAAAAGAAAACTATGCACAGCAAAGTATACACAACTTTGAGTACCGTAATAGACTAATGTTTTAGTTGGGGGATGAGCATTGGGAGAAAGATGACCTTTGCAATGATTTTTGTAAATGGTGGTTGATGAAATTCACCTCTTCAATTACCAGCAGTATCATGAGATATAAAACATACTATTTTTGATGTTGTTGAGAGTTTTTCAATTTTTTCCTGCTTTTTGGGGGATCTAACACCGCAGAGGAACACCTCAGCGCCCTCACTATAGGTAGGCCTTTGTAAAGTTCAAAATCAGCGCCTGGGCCTCCCCAAAATTCAAACCCCGCACCCACCATGTGAATGCTGGGAGTTTGATTTGTTATGTTCTTAGATTGTTTTCCAGAGTGTCAGATCACAGTCCAATTGCCTTGGCAGTGTTTGGAACATAATATCTGGAGCTGGTTGGACTGCTTGCAACAGGCCTGAATTGAATAATGCCTTATTGTTTGAGTCCATTCATTTTCCAACTGGAATATATATTGGGATATGCGACAGACCAAGGAGGCTGGGGCTGATGCATCCAATTAGTTGACAGAAATCTTGTTGTTCTTCCATGGTGAGTATGAACATGACTGTCACTGCAAGAAGATAAAATCTGCAGGTTAGGGAAGCATATTAACAGGCATGGCAATCATACAGTGACAGTCTCCTCACTGAAGTTCAGCACAAGCTACATACTTGTTGGATTCCTAATGTTTTCACATGGCTATATGGCCTACCACAGGAGATCTACGGTGATCATATGTTCCACTACAGCAGCCATGGATCAAAATATACTCCATCACTTTGACCTAAGCATAACTAAACCCCTCACAAGCACATCTGTAGTGCCCTCAGAGAGGGGCTTATGAAAAAATCCCTGGTTTGGCCTGAGATTTGAGAACAGCAAGATTTTCAAGAACTTTTACTTGAACAGAAACTGGTTTGGCCTGAGGTTTGAGAACAGCAAGATTTTCAAGCACTTTTACTTGAACAGAAAGATTGGTAACATTGGGGATAAAACAGTGGGAGGGCACAAACACTGAGAAAAAAATTGCCACATGGTGATGTGTTGTGCATGCATTGATTGGACTCACAGTGTACCTGTGCGTCCCCAGTGACTGTGACATGAGTGTGGACGTGTGGGCACTCTGTACCATCAATCAGCACATCTCTCACATATCAATATATTACTGAATTTTTTCCCCAGTGGACCACCTATTGTGAAGTAAACGTAAGGCAAAAATTTTGAGGATAATGAACACAATGAGGAGTATAGTTTTTGAGCTTCGAAATTATTATGTGGAAGTCCTTCTGACATCTTGCACAGATATTCAAACCTTGAGACTTGAATTGCTTTGTCCTGAGAGGTGCGGACAGGATGGAGTTGTTGAATAAATCAATGTTCAAGATTGGTTCAAGATATCTTGCTATGAAATATGTAGACTCATACCAACATATAAACAGCACACCAGTTACACATATGTTTTCCCATCTTATGTGTAAATGAAATTTGTCCCAAGCCAAAAACCATACAAAATGACTCATACCAACATGGATTTTTGATCCACAAATTAAACCATGTCCTGATCAAGATTTTGAGTCATGGCAAACAGTCAGAACATGGCCAAGTGTCATACAAACAAATAACATCACACCATACTACTAGATCTAATAGCTTTGTCTGATTCACCCCCAGTACATGGGTTTCAATATATGACCTTTGTCTTTATACCCACTCATTTGCCGCATCCATCAGATAGTATCACTAGACTTTGGTCACATATCACAAAACAACGTAAGCCGTCTATCATCACAATTTATATTATCACAACCCCTTCATAAACAAATCCCTTGAAGAGTCTAGTGTCTGCAAAAACCATATGCACAATTCAAAATGTGTGAAGGCTGCCTCAAGAAACTTGGCAATGATGGACCGCCTGTCACTACCAACACCAATCATCTGCCAAGTCCTTCTGCAAATCATGCATTTAATAATCACATATTGGTAGTAGACAAGGAGAAGGGTTCACAGGCACTTAGAAACTGCTTTGCTGAAGCAAAATCACAGCGACGTCAAGGCCTCACACATCTGAATCAACCCACCACCGCCAAGCAATTCATGTTGGATTGCACTTTCTGATGTCACATTGGGGACGGTGTTCCAAAGCAGATTCGGGGCCGAGATGTGCAATACAATTGATATGCAATGTCAAACCGCATCTGAAAGATCCAACTGAATCCTTAGTCCAATTCAGACACGGTTTGGCACATCCAATGAGGCTCAGTTGTGATGTTGAAGTGCATCGATATCAACCCACTGAGCCTCAGTGCCTTGAGGCCCAATGGCTCCTTGCAAATGGCTCATCAGACCCAACCATAGATGCAATACAACCATCCCATCGCATGCTTTTTAACCAATCAAACATCGGCCCTTTGGTCCTGATCCAATCCTCATTGCGACTTCACTTTGGTCTTTCTGGTACAATGTAATCTCCTGTATACCTGATCTAATCCCAGGTCCAAATCAACTTTGGTGCCTTCTTTGCGATCCAACCTCAGCTCAAAACAGAAATCATACATACAACATTGGAATGAATCCTCATGTACAGGCTCTAAGTCATGAAACTGGATGCTCAAGTAAATGCAAGTGGCCATGTAAAAAAACTTTGAACTTTCAAGTTCAAACTTTGAAGTTGGATGCTCAAGTAAATGCAAGTAACCATGCATGGTTTAGAAAAAACTTTGAACTTTGAAGTTGGATGCTCAACTAAATGCAAATAACCATGTAGAAAAAAGAGTTTGAAGTAAGTTATGCTATGTTCAGTGTAAATCACAACACTTGCAGCTTGAAGTTGAGACTTCAAAGTTTAATTTGAGTCTGACAAGGGGTCAAACAAACTTATTACTAATACTCATAATAGATGAAGAGAAAGTCGATTGATAAGAATTGATGTGAAAAACAGCTCATGCATGATCCTTATCATGGATAATCTTCAATTTGTGTTCAACTTCCTGATGATAAGACTTC